ACTTCCCTCATTTAACTTTACAACTTTCTACATCGGTAATTGATTTATTATATAAATTCCAAATATTCTTATTCAATAAGCATACTGCTCCACCTCCTCGCTTTTTCTGTGATTCCTAGAAAAAGAACATTTTGCTGATTTTTTAAAATTATTTGCACTGATCCAATTGAAGAATGTTGCGAGGATTCTGTTAAAAATTGCTTATCAGTTCCCCACTTTATTGTGATTTATTCCCTCCTGAAAATTCTGAAATCCAAAATTATACTTGTGATAAGAGCTCATCTTGCAATTGAACCTTTCTCGCAAGGGCAGCTTGAGACTTACATTCCATCCAAAATCCCATACTTACCTGCCTGTTAATGTCACCAATGCATACAAGTGGTTTTGTCTTGTTTTCGGCAATGGCCCACTTTGAATGATCTCTGTTGCTGGCAAATTTGTCACCCGCGACATTCAATTCCTTGACATTTATTACCTAAGGTAATTGATGGAAATTAATAGAAGATAATATGCGTATTTGATTTTCTATTATTATATAATTTTCTCAGAACTTGTCGTAGTATTCTTACAACGTCATTTCTTTAAAGGAATGTTGAGTGAGTCGCTTAAATTCGGAAGTCGAAAATCTAAGTTGTGGATTCTATTCGTAGAGTCAAAGTTAGATGAAATTTAATTTTTGAAATCTAAGTGAAAATGTAATTTCTGAGCTTACTTTATATTTAGTAGTGCATTCCGAATTTAAGTCTTTTGCAGCACCGTTCATCCATGTCTCAGCAAAAAGTGATACATTCATTTCTTTTGCAATCAAATCCAAATAAAGATCTGAACAAATCAAATTCAAATAAAGATTAACTCAATTTATAACAACTTTTTAGCTTTTATTGTTAGTTAAAGGTTTAAATCCAAGAAGGTTTAGTCATTTGAGATTTTTCACTTATCTTCCTGAGGTTTCTCATGTGCTTTTTTCTTTCCAAACTTTTTTCTCTTTCAGAAATTTCAAGATATTCTTGATGTTTTTCTTTCTTTTTATAGTCTGCATTTATTCAAAGATATCTGAAACGAATTGCAAAGCTATACCTTTGTTATATTTTCCAGTCTTTGAGAAAGCAAAGAAATCCACATTACCATTCGACTTAAAGTTCTGAAGCAACGATGACATATTGGAAATTCTTTTCTTTTTTAACTCTTTCAGATCTTCCAACAATGGGAATCTATTCAAGAAATTTCTGGGCACAGTGATACCGTACACTTCCGGATAGATATATCTCATCGCATTCGCTAAATTCTCGAAATTAGATAATTCCCAATTATAACTCTACTTGCGTCCAATCATTTAAATGAATAAGTTAAATTACCTCAGAACAATTAAATCCTTTAAAGTAATTACTTACCAAATACTTTGATGGATGTTGTTTTCAATGTGACACACAGAAATGACTGCCCATAAGTTTGACCGTTCTCAGCATATGAATAGCGTTTAAGTGAAGGAAATTTAGGTACACTATGAACAAGCCAGAAACCGGATGTGTTACCGAAAACAGCGACCCCTTTTGCATGCGCGCGGTTTAGATGACTTTTTTTTTCGTTAACTGGTGCTTGGTCATTGTAAAAGAGATAAAATAATTCCTGTAAGTGATAATTGTAATATTGATACAATAATATTAACTCGTATTGTTGTATGATAACAGTTATAAAGTTAAATTTTTCTAAAGGTTCGGTAGACAAGCAATTTTTGGAAATAATTTCAAGACGGCCAAGAGAAACTTGAAAACTTTCTTTCTTAGACTTCCAACATTTCTATTGTTGTAAATCAAAGAAGACCTTTTTTTTGTTATTCTTATTATCATAATATTGTTTAAGCGTTACAGCAATAGCATTCTTTGGTGATTTCAAATTTTCTGCTGGACCCCATTCTTTGGAATCATTATCAGCGTAATGAAATGTTACACCCGGATATGTCTGTGATGCCTTTTTGGGCTGTTTATATCCGACGAACCTGAATATCCTTTCAAATCCTAGCAATATTCTTTGCTCTCTTCAGAATCACTGCATCCTCACAAGGCTGGCATCCGAGGATGTTACTTAGTACTAAATTCAAATCAGCAATCGTATCAATTTTTTTGGTGTTGTTAAGCATAAATGTAAACTAATAAAAAATTGGTAAATCTAATAACAACTGATTTGTTAATTAATTAATCAGTTCGCTGATGAAAGTGCAAAAGAAAGTTCTTTTAAGGGGACGAAAACAAACCAATCAACAGATTTTCCGTTACGATTCTTGCAGGAAAATTGAGCCATTATAATATCGTTCATTGCAACTATCATTAACAGTCTAATCATTTTGAAAATCATTTTGTTCTGAATACAGAAATTTTAAATATTAATAAGGGCTATTATGGCGTGTTTTTATGATGGCAATGTTTAGTTTAAACAGATAAAAATTTTTTAGAAATATGTGGCAGAGAAAGCCGAAACGATGGGAGCAAAAGGCTCCGTAAAGTATTTATTTGACGGAATACGATTGAAACTTATAAATAATTCTAGTGTGACATTTTCCATTCATCTTACACCTAATTTTTCTGATCATATCATCAGCAGAATGTTATTAGCTTTGAAAATTGTTCGTTATTAAGTAGTGAGTAGAGTACATGAAATAGCAACAACATCGAAGGTAATTCGATTTATTTTTTAGCATTTGATAACAAGATCTAATTAATTTGACAGTGCAATTGGGAAAAAAAAACTTTGATCTTGAAAGCTTAACGAATGAACCATTTTGTTTTTCGGTTGTATCACTGCTGAGAATCCAGCTGATATGTGCATATCTCTCTTATTAGCATATCAATAATTTAGGTCATATCATCATCACTAAAGCATTCATTAATTTTCTTCTTAAAAATCATTTCATCTGCTCGTTTTCTTTTCCTTAATGACACCTCATCATCCTTATTAGTAGTTACATCAGCGTTAACACTTTTGAAGGCATTTCAGTGATCTTTCGCAATTTCAAGGATTCACAAACAAAAATACCTTAAGCGGTTGCACTGATAATAACTAGAAGTTTCCAAATCATTCAATAAGCAATATTCAGAAGTTTGTGCCTTCATCTCCGTCAACAACTTTTTCTTGTTAATTTTTTTGAACGATTGAAGAAATTAGGACTTGCAATGTAAAATTAAGAACTAAATGTTATTTTCACGAACAGAGGTGGGCACCCATAGAAAACATTTTATATTCGATACTTCATTAAAGGTTCTGATTGGAAGACATTTCGACCGCTCTTTTGAAATGTACAAAAAAGAAAATAACATCAAACAACCCTGACAATGGCATTCATTTTAATTAGAGTATCATATTCACTTCATACACAGTGTTTATGTTTAAGTATCAATTCATTTTCTAAGTTTTAACCACATTAAACTAACCAATAAAAGTAGAAACAAAATTTTATAAATTTTGTTCCGTCTTTCATAAATATGTCAGAAAAAGAAATTAAAGTTAAAAATGTGTCGCAACATTCAAAATTTATGAAAATATATTTTATAATCCGAGAAATTCTAACGGTATATCATCTTATGAACAATTAATGGAAAAGCAACAATTACTAAGTGCTGGCATGAGAACTCATTTAATAAATTATTCCGTTATTTTATTGCTTTGCTGCTGTGTTTGTTTACTGACGGGTGGATCAAACAAAAACGAAATTCACGTAGATCCTTCTTTGATAAGTAAACTGAAATTAATATGGTGAAAAATTAAATCATTTCCCATGATATGCTTTTTAATTTCAAAGCATCTGTTTAAATATGCAAAATTGCGAACAGATGAACCGCTCGATACGGTGATATTTATATTTGTTTGGTAAGAATATATTTTTCCAAATAGTGGGAAGTTTCTATTTGTTGATTCCAACTATATGTCTATTTACTCAACTTATCTTACGTAATAATTCTTCCGAGACGAGTGCTAATACGGCATTACACTATGAAGTCCCGGACAAAGAAATCATTACTGAGTTAATTTTAATTTACGGCATTTAACAAATACAAATGAAAAATGCCAACTATAGATCGATAGTTACTTAAATCTCTCAGCATGTATAATTTTCAAAAAATATACTTTAAAGCTTCCCTGTAATGTAAAATGTTTTTTAAAATTTTTGTTGCATCATTTTAAACTTAGAAGAAAAATAAGCAATCGATTTGATTACTCATTACTGAGCTCGAAATTTCATCTTTGTATTACCCGAATTCCGATTAATTAAGTGTGACAGCAAAAAGATTTTTAAGACATTGTCTTCTTTGTCTTTTCAAAAAGAGAAAAAAATCGAAATATTTGTAACTGTAACTTTCCCTTTCAAATTCTTCCCTTTTAGGCATATGCTTCTGTCGCAATATCAGTAAAATTTTATTAACAGTAACAAAGAAATATTTTAACTTTTCACTTCATTACTCCTATTTCAGTCACACTGAGCTAAATTGAGCCAAACATCCTACTGAATCAGTTATGTTTCTAAAGTTCATCTAACGAACCAAAGAAAAGAAAATCTGACCATGACCTTCTAGATCGATAACCTTTGTGTTGCTGGTGGTCAGTGGGGATATTACAATGAACATTCAATGCGTTAGGCTCAACGAGTTTCATTAGGGTCCAACAGTGCTCGCTTCCTTGTGTTAATCCTTTGTCATTGAAGTTAATCATCGCATTTTACTCATTTACATGTATTTAAATTAATAGAAGTCGCATGCGGCCAACAGCGCATTGTAATTATGGAGGGCGTACCAATCGGCGCAGTTCGTTCCCTCCATTCCAATAGATATTGTCGCCAGCTCCTCACTCACACTAATTAAAATATGGACAGAAAACGACTGCATTATGACGCGCAGTTGTCGATGGAGTGGATGCAACAATACCGTCCTCTTTTTACGTTTCTCATAGTTGCGTACGCGTTATTTGTTATTAGTGTGCGGCCAATTTGTAAAGGCAGAAGAAGCCAAGGCATGGCAACGATCATTTTTTGTTGGAACGCCTTTAATGCGTTGGCGGATATTGTCCTGCTTCTTGCCTTATTACCTGATTTCCTAAGTTCTTTTCGTCAAGGCTTCTACTCAAGTTTATGTCTAAATGCTGACCTTTACAAGAACCCAAGGTCGGGAAAGGCAATATTCACATTTCACATCAGCAAGATGTGGGAATTATTGGACACCGTACTTTTGATATTGGATGGTCGTAAAACGAATCATCTTCACGTGGCTCATCACATCGTTGTTTCCATTTCGATGATCTGCGCTTATCAGCGTATCGGTGCTGTGGCTCGTTGGATTGCTACCACCAATCTTGCTGCTCATTCCGCACTTTACTCTTACCTGGCAGCTCAAAGTTGTATTTGGAAACGTCGTACATGCAGCGCACGTGTAATCAACGGAATCCAGATGGCACAGTTTCCCATTTGCTTGTTTGGTCTTATCAAAATACGCCAATTTATAAATGCCAGAAAGAAGTGTGAGACAAGCTACAGTGGGCTATGCATTCTAATCTATTCGTCCTTTTTCATTCTCTTCGTTTCATTTTACGCCAACAAATACAGAAAAGATAGCATTGGTAGAGATTATGTCTTCTAAGATATTTCTTCATTGTAGCAAATTTCTGTAGATTCTGGCCAATAAAAGGTAGGTATGGCCAAGGAACAAAGATCCTTGAGATCCATGCAGGGATTGGATTGTCCTACTCCCAACCAACAATGTTTTCTCCAGCACTGTGACTTCTGCAAAATCATTTGATTTGTTTTACTTTCTTAGTCTTAGTGTCGTGAAGTAATAGTGGACAATATCCTCCAGCACTTGCATTGCTCTCAAAGGCAGTCATTGAGGTCGCATCTAAGTTTCTCACAACAAACTATTCAATTAAAAAGTGTAGACAGATTTTGAATACCAGATCAGAAGACGTAAATGTCGTGTCCCATTGTAGGTATGCAAAAATATCGAATGTCACACAGAGCTTCTTTCCAGTATTCTACAATTGCGGAGAAAACAAATCTTAGAAGCGTTAAATTCTACACGTGATTGACACGGATATCAAAGTGATGTATTTATTCTTCTTCACTAGGTAATTTATCATTTGAAGTCCATTGAAGAAGCAATGGATAAAGAATGTCCGTCTTTCACACTTTCGTGATGGCAAAATATTAAAAACAAAAAACTTGAAAAAAATTGAAGGATTTAAAAAAATATTAAAAAAGTACGAAGGGGAATATCCCAGCAAAAGTTAATGATTTCTGCTTTAAAAAATATCACTTCACAGAGTGGCGATTCATTCTCAACTACAACTACTTGACTCAGTGCTTCATTTAGTAATCACTATGTTTTCCGAAATAATCAAACGCATGCACAATATGTCGTCCTATCTGAATTATTGTTCGTGGATGACACAATGAGTGAAGTTGCGGAATCGAACCTTTCTTTCCGGTGCATACAATCAATCTCAGTTTATGATTCGGGAACGGAATTAAATTAAGGGATGGATATTATAATTCAAGATATAAAAAAGTGGTCATTACTCTATAATAATTCGAGATGAAAGCAATTTAGAGTGAGTCATATAACCTAATGAAGCTGCAAAATGTAGGCTGGCGGATTATTTAAGCAAACTACGACAACTGTCCTTCTTACTTTTCATTACTGTTATTTTTGAAACTTAGCAAAAGAGGAATGCCGTGTTTGCAAATTTCTTGGAAGTGTTATGAATACTGTGCCTGAGACAATGTTTTCAGATCACAATTTTTCAAAATAAAGCTAGCAGTTACCGCATGATTTGGATATTTTTAATTGGCGAGAGATTGGCACAACAGCGAATGAGACGTTGTCTAGCCAACAAGGCATGATAATTGTAAAACAAACTCCGTTTCTTGGTATAATGAATGAGGAAAAACTAAAAAGTCGTAGAACAATAAGGGAAAACGTTTTTTATTCTTATCTGCAATATTTTGAAACAAGTTTAAAGCTCGTTAACAAGGTACAACTTCCATTCAACTTAAATTTACTCGAAGTTTCAGAATCAGATTTAAAAGAAATACAAAATATGTGGTCATACAGTTGCTAGCATAAAAAGCATCACAAAACAGTACCGACCTTGAGCTTACAGAACCATCAACAAACATTTATGCAAGGTACATAAAAATGAAACTAGCATTAATCGTTTTCTTTTACATTCTTTTATCATTTAGCTTATTTAATAAACCACTAACCGAATTCTAATACAGCAACTACTTAATATCAACCTTTAAAGATTCCAAAATACGTCAACAACTCGATAAAGTTATTAACAAATATTATATTATTAAAACTACACGGGAAAGGCAGCCACATCAGACACAGTTTCACAAAGAATATTATTTACAAGCATGATTAATCGTCTCTCCATACATAATTCAGTTTTCAGTATGGTTGCTGAAACTGCCATGCGTGACGCGGCAATAGAGGAAATACGTATTAATAGATGTGCAACATCAGCTGATATTTGTGGAAATAGCGACATTATGCGGCCCAACGACGGTACAGCTCTTGATAACAGGCGTAAATTTTCATCGGTAGTCAAGGCACGTGATAACGTTGTTAATACATCCAATAATAGTTCCACACGAATAAATGATGATTCTATTTTGTACTAGAAAAGGACAAAATTAGTCATGCTTATGGCTGCACAATATAAAGATGATGCACCGAAATATAATCTAAGAGATTTTCTGAAATAAATGCTATTGTTACAGTAAAATCTGAGCAAAAGATCCAAAAGTTATTTCAGTTACGAAAAAAATTCAAAAAATAGTACAGAATCGAAAACGTCAAACTGTAAAAATATTAAACACAGAAAAATATTTAACAGAAATCTATCTAATGCAAATAATTCACATTTTAGTTTCTCAAATATTGAGATAGTTGAAAAACGTCTTTTTATGATTATTCACAGTGAAGAATAAAAATATACATCAAACAAACTAATAAAAAACGTGAAATCTATGCACTTTACGAATTTAATTCCACAGTACACCAGAATTACCCCCATTTAGAAACTGTACATTCTTGACCTTGATGATTCCCAGGTGCAATTTTAATCTACCCATGGTAAGAATATCAGCAATACATCTGATTAATACATTATTTACCATTCGCCTATACTTATCAGATATCAATGAAAAGAGAAAATTTGAATCCATTTTCTAGAATCGATGTTCCGCCATCTTCTATTTAAAATTAAACTAAACTTCAGAATTCAAATTTAAATTGCATTCAGAAAATACATACTTGCTGTGCCAGCTCAGCAATAAGAACAATGGCAAAGATACGTTTCGAAATATCCGCCAATGCTAGGATTTCATGCACAAACTCCAGGCAAATATGCATTGATGGTATTTCTCGTACAGCTAATGGAATTAATCGCAAGGGATAACCCTAAAATTCAATGAAACTTCGAATTTCAGATTTCAATCCTCCTTGAGTTAAACTTTTTTTTCAAATATGAGAAAAGCATCTTTTTCAAAAAATATGAGAAAAAAATTCAATTTAGCTAAGTGAGCAGAAAGAACAAAAGCTTTCTTGAATAATTTTATAAGTACGGAACATATGTAGTATCTGAATGATAAAGGTGAAATGATTGGTTACATCCCGCACTTGCAATTTTACATTCATTCTTATACTTTATCTTTAGTCATGCATTCATGACTAAAGATAAAGTTCATGAGAAAACAAAAAAATCAAAAAAGAAACGGCCAAGCAAAGACTGCAGTCTGAATTTTTTGTTGGAAACTCATAAGTAGCCCAAATGGATAGAGCTCATAGCAAAAGAAGTTTTCAGAGCTTTAATCATAAATAATAACGAACAACCTGGAAATGAACTAATTTGGAAAGAACGGGATCGGCAATGAACATCTGATGGATATGTGCGCAGCAAAGGCGATGGACAACGATATTCTTGAAACGTCCACATATTTCTAATAAAATCTGTACAACTGCCGAATCTTGCGCTCCAATTAATGAGCGGGCAAGCTCTTCCCGTTCTACGCGTTGATCATCTCTGTAAAAATGAAATGATGTAATAATCATTGAAAATACAGAAAATAAAACTTGATCAGTCTAATTATTAAAAATAATAAACAACTATTAAAAAAAAAGATAATACCACAAATATTCTGCCAAATTTTGGTTCCAAAATTTCTTTCAAGTGATATACCTTCCAATCTGATTGATTTGTAGCTTTTGCAATAAGTATGTGCGACTTGCGGATAAATAAAACGAAAGAATACGTAAATAACATGGGAATAGAATATCATTTTCGAATAGGCGTTCATCGCATCGAAACAAAAACAACGGTTGTTCAACTAACATATCATGATTCAACTCCTCAGCAGACCAAGCGAAGACTGTAGCCTGAATTTTTTGGAAACTCATAAGCAGTCGAAATAGAAAAAAAAAAAAGAAAACAGAAAGCTAATGTCCAGGCGCCGATGTAATTGGCATCATTCATCAGAACATCTCGTTTAAGTACTGATTACTTCATTTCATGCATAATCCGAGTTGAAGAAGTTCAACAATATAATCAATCAAAATTTGAGAAAAAAAAAAAAAAGCAAAATGCCAAAGGATACTGTTCTTAGCTTTGAAGACAAACTTCGCAAAGTGATCTCGGGACGACATTTTCCAGACGTTTCCAAATCGCTACTGCTCCATTTGCAAAAGCCACTGGTGTACATGGGTTGAGAGCAATGACCATTGCATGTATAATAGCGTCCATAGCTTGTACCTGTTCGCGCAGTGTGCTTTTTTGCAGCAAACGTATAAAACGCATAGAATTTGAAGGATTTTCATCAATTCTATTGAAAGCTTTCAATAGTAAACCTGTTGACAATGGGACTCTCCTGTAACAATAAATCTTTCCGTAAAAAGTAATCTCAGGATGAACACACCTAAATTTGCGTAAAATTGTATGACAACGGATAAAATTACCATTTCATCAAATTTCTATTTTTACAGGAATGCATATTCCTGGAAGTTTGAAACAATTTATTGGTTAATCCTAATTTTTTCCAGATATGATTTAACATAAATGAATCATGTTAAAAAGCTGTATTAGTGAGTAGACTGAAAGAAAATAAACAGAAAATTGTTTCACCGAGCAGTAGTTTTGATTTCAGGATTCTTCAATTCATCGTCTACAGATAATAGTAATGAATCGACAGTTGGAAGCATATACGGGTAATAGAGGCCGCATAAATAAACTAATGGCGATCGAATAGCACGAAAGTGCTCCGGTCGAGTTTCAACAACATTTAGCAGCAACCGCACAGGTATGACTCTTTCGACTTTGGTACTAAAATCTGGAGCTTATTATATAATAATAAGCAGACAATCTGATTAATAAGTTATTTCAGGCATCATCTATATATGCGCACTTCATTGATTAAATGCTTGGCTAATGATAGTGTTTCCATTAAATCAATACAGAATTTGTTGATCAAATGATGAGGGAGGAAAATAAAAATAATACCTGTAAAAGTATTGAACACTTCTCTTCTGAGCATGGCTCTCAAAGCTTTTTCGGTAACAAAGAAGAAAGAAAAATGTAAGCAAACGCGGTACCATCTTGCTTTCATCCATAACTTCGCCATTAAATAAATTCTGGAAAATGCAATTCATCTGAACATTAATTATTCCTGTGTGTGCCAGTAAAAGTTAAAACATCAACCATTCGCTCTATAACAAGATTTATTAATTGATAAAAACAAATTCAGTGGCCAAAAAAAAAAAAAAACTCCATTTTCGCAGGATCTCACAAAAATTACACGACACTTCTTGTTTAGCACATCATATATTACAACTCTAGTTCTTACTAAAATTTTGCATCTCTACACGATATTGTAGAATAGATTCAAAATTTAGCTTTTAATATAGAAACTTTTAAAAACTTAGTAACAGTAGAATCATTTTGATTTTCCTAGTCTTTAATAAATCGTTAACCATAAAAATATTGTTTCATTAAAATGTTGATCATCCTTGTGCCATTTTCGCAAAGCAGTGAATATTTCTGCGATCGAAAACTTAGAGTTTCAATAAATTTCGCATTATTATATATCCCCTAAATTTTCATCTAATTCTAGAAGTAAGTAAAGTTCTAACCACTAACCAATATGAAGTCCTCTGACAATGGACGATTAGCAGAAGTGAATTCAGCAACGGCAAAACAGCTTGCAGCATATGCATTTAGCAAATCTGTTACCACTGGATGTAGCGGTGTCGCACAATTTGTTATCTGTGCACCAATCCAATCCTACACATCAAAAAAAGATACATAAAATTTTGCATATTGCATATTACGCAATGTAGAACGATTCAAAATTCAACTTCTAACACATGAACACATGTGTTAGAAGTTGTAAAAAGAACTTTATAAAATTTAAGAACACATTTTGAATTAGAACTCAACATGGGATATTTAAAAACAAAGAAAAAAGGCTGCAAATGAAAGCCAGAGAGTTTAAACTAAAACTTAAACATCAAAAGCTTGCAAGCTTTTCCTTACTGCAGTTTTCATAAAAGATGTATTACAGAAAAAGTGTCTATCGCCTTTTTTCGGATCAAGTATAGGGAAGAGTTTCACCTTCAAATTAGCAAATACAGCAGTTACTAAGGAAATCAAAATAGAACCATTCATAACTCTAATAAATTCAGCATAAGTCATTTTCAAACCATTAAAATTAAAAATAAATCAGATTTGAATTTTCACCAGTGCCAAGCTATCACGTCTACTTAGCTATTTCAAGCACTGCTAAATTACGATCAGAAAGGGAGAAAAGGGTGATTTCAGAAGCAAATCTATAAATGTACTTCCAGAATGAAAAATAATGAAATCTTTTTAGGAACAAACCTGAATAGGAACAGAATATTTTGAAAACGAATTAGTTGAAAGTAATTGAGTTATACAGTGGGCTGGAAGAAATCCCTGGTGGTGAGAACTAAGGAAACGAGTGACGGGCATTTGCGAAGCCCGCTCTGCTATATCACGTTCAGTCATAGCATGTCGCAAGAATAGATTCTTCAGTGTTGTAAGATTTCGTACATTTACAGTAACCTGGAAGTTTTCTTAAAAAACAATGGTGTAAAAATACTGGACAATCTAACAGAAAATAAAACTGCTGATTCAAGAAGAAAATATCAAGCTAAAAACGTGCAGATATTATCCAAATGATATAAATCAGAAACAACTGACTCCAGTTATGCCAGAAATAATTTAGTATATATAGAAATAATACTAGCAAAATCAGAGATAATATCTAGGTGAAGGACAAAATCAAATATTATTACATTTATGATTCGATCAAATTAATTGTTCTTCATTCTTGTTCTAGCATCGAAATCAAGTTTAAAATCTCTTTTATTTAGAGTTGTGGAGATTTACATCTCCCACAGTGTAAACACAGTGGTTAACTGCATGAAGAATTAAAAATGCATTGATAAAACTGCATATAATCAAAGTTATAAAAAATTAACAATGTTTAAAATAGTACCTTGAAAGCAAGAACACTAGAAATAAGGACAGCAAGTTGTTCACTTTGTGCAGCATGTAAATGAATTGATAACAAAATGAAGAACTGTTGCAGTGTTGGAGAAGCACTGGATGAAGCTCGTTGCTTGAGCCAATCCAAAAATGCTATAATTGAAGCTTCCACTTCCTTCTCATCACCGAGATGCAACCTTGAAACAAGCAATGGTAAAATACTGATCAGTTCACAGCTTTGCAATAGACTCGCTCTTTCTGTGCTACATAATAATTCCATAACAAAAAACTGAAGAACACAATAAAAAAAAGCAGTTATATGGATCCCAGACATTCGTAGCGCAATCAGGAGCCTGCTTTTTGAAGACTGCATGTATACTTTTTGTATATTTACTCTTTACTTACTTTTTGACATTATCACTTTTACATGATTAATTTAGTGTTTTTGACGAGAACTTGGAGTCCACTTCCCAAATTTTTATCTAAAACCCAAAAGTTAGCGAAATAATTTTGTGAAAAATAGAAATGGAGAGGAAAATCATAACGAACAAAAACAGGACATAAATAATGTTGAGTAAAGAGAAAGATGTCTTCGCTGACTGTTCAGAGACTTCTCGTTCATAAAGTTCAATATTTGGAAATGTTGATCTTTCTATATGACAGGTGTTGAAAGTAGTAACTGTTGTAAAATGTTAACAAAGTAGTGAACTTACGGTATTAATTGTGGACAAGCAATGATGACAGATAATGCTGTCATTATGTATCGATCATCATCCAAATCCGTTCGAGTGAGAAACAGCAACCACGAATTTGTTTCATCATAACTCAAACGCATACCTGCGTTAATACGAAGAACTGCCAGTAACTGCGCTAAGGTGGCTTCAGTACCATCATTGATCGTGCTGCAGTAGTCAAAATTAAAATTTATATGAGTCGAAAATTCGTTTTGCTTTTTTCTGGAGATTTTAAGACTAAATTCTACGACAACAGAACAGTTCAATTTATTGAAATAATAGAAAACAACTTTCATGCAAAAGTTTTGCTAGCAAAAAAAAAAAAAAAAAAAAACTTTTTGATTATTCATTGCAATCCCAAAACTAGAGAACAATCAAATGGTTTAGCACTAGGAAAAAGCCTCCCAAAAAAAAATTTTGCAATTTATATGGTTAAAATAATCCAATTCATCCACCGACTGATCAAGCTTAGAGAATCTGGCATCAGTTTGCTCTAATTTCTTTAAAATTGGCTTGAAGCTTCTGGATGTCATAATGTGTACAAGAGGATTCCGTGGTCAGTGACAAATCTGCTTCATAAGAAATTAAAATTACTGAAAATACTGCAAACCTCGACGAGAATGCACTTATAGCCTCCGAAATTCGATCCCGTAGAAGTTTCACAGCTGGTTTGTCGGATGATCGATGTATAAAGGCAGCCAAGGAACGCTTATTTAGCAATGCGCAAAGTAAATTGTTTATCAACTGAGCGCTGCTTAAACAAACACATATTAACATTAGGGCCAAACTATTGCCATTTGAGGTGTTTGCATCCAGAAGCTGAGAAATGCTTCGTTCAACAAGATATGGATCTATAGAGAGCAGCTGAAATGTAAGGATTCTAAAGTAGAGATATACAAACAACATATATGAGTAGTTTTACAAGTTAGAAAATGTGAAAATCAAGTCAATATGATAATGAGATCAACTAACTCGAGTTCCCTACCAAGGTTCTGAAACAAGAGGTTTGCAAATATCATGCTTTAACACTGTTTAGATACTATACATATGTTACCATAATCTAACAGCACATAACTATTGACTTACGGCCAACCATTAACAGTGATTTAGATGAGATGATGATAAGTTACTGTTTATGGGATACAGTGAATTAATTAGCAATATAACTATAGTTTGAAACATCTGCATAAAATTTCCTCAAAATTTACTAGGGGAAGAACAGAAAAAAAGAGAGCATCAAATGTTTCATTATGTTCAACAAACCTTTAATAATAAGTTGTTTCTATTTTTACTGATAACATTATCATCATCCAGCAACTGAACCCTCAATAGGTAATCAACAGTGGATTCCAATGAGTCGCTGACATTACATATTAGCTGCAAAGAAATCAATGATCATTGTATTTCATTGTACTAGGCCAATTCCATCTTCCAAAAACTGGTAATTGAATATTAGCGAATTATAAATTCCGTATGTTCATTAAGCAATTTTTAACATTTACCATGGTGATCACAGTTACGGCATTAGGTATTGACAATAAGGGATGAATTATTAAGGCAGGATCGAAGCGATTTGGCATGTATAAAGCACATACGGTCATTGCGCACACGACTTCTTCTAATGTTGATTCCTGCTCAAAGATATCCAGATTTGTCCCATTATCCATATTTCTAGCAACTAAAAGATAATCGTTTTAAAACATATCTGGGAATATTAGCTAGGCGAACTTTTGGCGTCTGCATCAACTCGGGAGCTCCCAAGTAAATTTCATATTATACTAAACACCATGCCACATTCTTATCTCTAAAAGAGGAATAAGTAGTGCTGAATAAGCAGTTGTTAATGGTTTTACACTGTTTCCTAAATAAAAAATAAAAAATTAGTAATAAGTAGCAAAACTGCTAGCATCTACATATCCCGATTACTATTTTGCTATCACCAATAAAGCATCAGTATCTCTCCCTTTCTGCTATGCCAGCTTATAATATAATTAGATATCAGCAAGGAAGAATTGAAAGTATAGACCAACTTCTCATAAAATTACCATTAGTAGATACCTGATCATTGTAATCTATCTTATACCTAACGAATACCTACTATTAGCAGATACTCATAAAATTACCAATACCAATATCATTATAATTATAAAAATTGTGGGATACAGCAATTATTAGGACTGCATTCTGTTCAAAGTTATTTTAGACTAAAGCATCATTAAAAAACTCTGTTCAGTTAATAAACATGGCAATTCGTCGATGCAATATTTTGACATACATATATTTGACAATGCACAGGAAACATTATTTGAATATAATTAGTCATGTAGGTAGTTTCCTTGCTTTGATGGATATAACTAACTGACATAAAAGTTCAGCCATCCCACTCGAATTTATGATTAAGATCAGAATACCGAAAGTAAGAAAAGTTCTAACTTCGATCAAGTAGAAATGCAACAATTTTGAGTTTCATTTGTGGCGGTGCGGTTTCAAACGGTATTTTACGAATACTGTCAATATCTTCCACTGTTGCTTTATTTAAATCATTCTCAACAGCCATAACGTCGGCACTTAAAATTTGAAACAAAGAATTGCACTGAGGAAATTCTAGTAAACGACGTCGAAGCTGATCCTAAAGAATTTCCGAAAATACATTGTTCATGGCAACAGTTTCTAATAATTGTATATTATTCAAGAATCACTAAATTTTCTAGTGTCAAAAAAATGGTACTAACATTGCGATTTTTACTCTAAAGATTGAGACTTTGCTTTCACAGTCTCATAAATTTGTCTGCTCAAATTCGTTTCACTAGTTTCCTCACTAATTACTACAGAAACAGTAACTGTTTTTAGTTCGTCAGTTATTCTTTAAACTGCTGATAAGGAGAAACAACGTTCAATAATTCTGTGTTTCCATGGGTTCGTCAATTTAAAATCAGGAACTGTTCAGAATTTTTGAAGTCTTAAGTGGGGATAAAAATTACCTGAAAGCGAAAGCCTGAACAAGCAAAAAATGAAAAAACAATCTCTTCCTTTTTTCTTTACCATCTTTATCAAACATCTTTTTCCATGATTCTCCAAGACAGACTTTTTCGAACAAAAATTTTTCAGGATTACTGATAAGAAATTTCATCGTCCCAGTGTACAATGAAATTTTGGTTTTCCTCAAAAAAGCGACACTTAAAGGTTCTCAAAAAAACAACTAACCAAAGACTCATCCGAAAATACGCAAGCCGATGAAAAGGAGGATAGCAAAAGCGATGGCAGGAATGGCTGGATTTGTTCAAGATCGAATGTATCGATGTTATCGATGAAAGTGCCATTCTTCAATGCAGCATATACCGGTTGGGGTACTGGGCTTGGTACCATTTCCAGTCCTGTAATCTTCGCATGACAAGTAAGTGATGAGTTAAGCAAAGAGTACGAGAGAATAAGTCCAAACAAAAAAAACAAGAAATAACTAAAAGACAAGCAGTACAAAAGCCCGATAATTACTATACCAATCACCCCCTGGTACCGAAAGAGGTAACTTTCGTTTAGGTGATTAAGGGTATTGTGTGCTGGTAGGATTAATGATTTTATAAACATTGGGAGGAGTGGGCCTACAATGGTTTAACCTTCGTTTTTCCTTAGTGAACTGGACAGTGCTGTTCAACGCGATGCTTTCATTCTGAATGGAATAAGAATTATTGATTGGTCACTGCTTTTTTCTAATAATTCAGATTTCTGATTGTCATCGTCGTCATTCATGAATGCTGCTAGGGCAGTGTTGCCCTCCTACACAGAATCTGTTGATGTCGCGGTAAATTCCAATTCACAGGATGACACTTCATTTCTTGGTGCTACTACTTCGCCAACCAGTCTCGTCGAAAATCATGGAGCATCACAAAAAGTTTCCGAAATTTCGCTAGATGCCATATTTGGACAAGAAAATTGTCAACCACTGTTGGAAACAGGTCTGAAAAAAAGCGGTAATCCGCGTGATATTTTCGATACAGCTGATGATATTCCAGAAACACCGAAGTCCGTAGAAATCATCGATTTAATAACACCGAAGAAGACTTCACAAAACAGATCACCTCTTCTTCCCACTCAACCACTACCGACGACTTGTACAAGTTTTATGCAGCGACGACCAAGAACCTGCTGTAATGGCACTTTGCATAATTGGATTAACTGGTCCAAACCACCACCGAGACCGGAACAGGTTAATGCAGATAAATATGCTCCTTGGTTGAATATTAAACTCGATGTCTCTCCAAAAAAACTGGATCCCGTCACCAAGCAAACATTAAGCAGTATGAATGCAGAGACAACCGTCAGTGGTTCGTGCTCGTCGCAGATTTCATCAGAGTCTTTAACAGGTTCTGCCGGAATTCAACTGATCTTCCCAAACTATAATTCCGGAGAGTTCAGAAAACTAACCTCCAACACTAGAGAATGCTCAGAGAACCAAATATCTGGAGAAATTACGGTATTGCAAAATTCTTCGATGATATTAGGACCAACTTTACCTGTAACTTCTACTAGTCAAGAAGAAACAGGTGAAGATCAGCTGGATGTTATTTCTTCCATATCTGATGATTTTTCTCTCCCGCTTACTCCTTCTCCTCCTAAAACATTACGCAAAGCAGAAACGCTAAAGCAAGTATCACTTGCAACAATGCTGAATCGAAGTAATGTGGTTGATTGTTATACTGTTCTGGAATCACAGCATACACGTTCTCTAATGAAAGTGATATCTTCACCAACATTTTGTCGAAATGATGGGAAATATGTGAACAATGAGCTGACTTCACGATTTGACGATGATGGTAAAGTTCGACGGAAAAAAGCTGAACGACGTTTATTGCATGGCTACGATTGTCCATGTTGCGCGGATTACTACGAAGCCTTGGGATTAAATCAACATGAGCGTAATAAACGGATTGATCAAGTTAGTCAAAATTTTATTTCGATTTCATCATATACTTAGAATCGCATGTCCACATAGATATAAGATAATCGTTAGGAATGTGATGGGTAGAATAGAACTTTTTTCGATATATCGATATGGATTGGTTTGTAATCCTTAGGAACAGATTTTGATATTGCATTTAATTCATCCGTATTTTTTACAGGTTAGTAAACACAGAGATATTGAAAAGGAACCATCTACTCCTGAATATTATTGGGAGGTTAGGATGCCAAATAGAGAAGAACAACGCCGACGCGGGCAAATTATTGAAAGCACTTCACCGATTGCTCTTAAGACACGTTATCCGGAATACAAGCCGAACAGACGTGCTTGCCGTAGACTTTTCATTTAATAATTGGTTTTGTTTTGCTGACTCTTTGCATTATAAATACTTTGAGTAATGTGAATTGTTATCTAACTTTTGGGTAAGATGAGCTTTGTGGTTGCATATGGAAAGTCCATCCATATATGACCTCATTTGATATATATGCACTGATGACCACACTGGTTGGTGAACTTGTCACCAATCAGTTGAAATTTGGAAACATCCAAGTTTCGAGATTTTAATGGGATTGATAGATTTATGGCTTTATTACCGACTTTGTTAAATAGTTGTTCTGGGATATTCTTATGTTATGCATTTAAATGCTTTTTACCGTTATGTTTTTTCTGGTAAAACTACCTTAGCAATATTTTTCAAAAAACTTAGGAGCCTTATTGATTGATTTGAATGGCTATTGTTGATCACATGATTCATAAGCACTTTTTTTCACTGGTCCATTGTATCCTTTCCGTGTATTCATTTCCATTCTACTTATTTAATACGACATAAATCAAGCTAATGTTTCGAAAAATTATAGACCTGGTGTCTGCAATAGACCTCTTGAAATCTAAGAAATGCGTGTGATTTTCTTTACTGACTGTTATTTTTTACTGAAAAAATTTGTTTGGATCAGATTTCCTAATTGATAACTTCTCCGAATTATTAAAGTCGAATTTTAAAACTCGTGGTTTTGAAGCCCGAACCTCTGTTTTTTAATTCAATTTTGTGTACATCTCTTTCTAAAATTATTTAGTAGGAATTTTTTAATTTTTATTAAGAAGCTATGAATATATCCGATTTTTTTACCTGATGTCTTTTTAAAACATTTTATGCTACTTGCTTTACTTAAATTTACTTGTTGTTGCTGAGCCATCACATTTTATTACTCTAAACTTTTATGAACTACCTCTTTTATCTTCATATATAAATTCCACATGTATAAATTTCATCAAAATATCGGATTTTAATTATTTATGAAGTTTTTTTCAGACATATCTGAAGGTTACAATTTTTTCCCTAAAGGTTATGGCGTCATGACGTCGCTTCAAAGTGCGACCAAAAGTTTAATGTTTTTTTTTTTTTTTTTTAAGCAGGAGCTAATAGAGGCTTGAAATATTAGTTATATGGAGACCTTATTTGTACTTTGAGTTTCAGGTTAACTATTATAGCATATGACCAAGAAAGTTCAAGGCTAAATTTTAATTAGGCTTAATGCTCTTACAATGCTCTTACTCTTGCTATTCAGTATTTCAGATTTCGAGACAGGATGGGTGATTTTGGCTAAATTTTAATTAGGCTTAATGCTCTTACAATGCTCTTACTCTTGCTATTCAGTATTTCAGATTTCGAGACAGGATGGGTGATTTTGTTATAAATAAATTCGATGAAGAGCTTGCCAAATATAAACGCTTTGAAAAGGGTTAGTATTCTCGTCAATCTCTTTCTATTTTGTTATTAGAGCTCGGTTATTCTGATTTTCCAATCAAAGTTTTGTTGAATACTTCTATAATTTTTCTTGTCGAAAATTGAAACATCTGATGGATTCTGATAAATAAAATGGAGTTTAAAGTGTGGGGTTTACCACCATATCCTGCGTCGACGTGAGAAATCCCCCTTTTCATAAGTGATGCGTTCAACAAAAAAGATACTTTTGAAAAAACGGACCGGTTTGCAGAAGTTAATGAGTCTTCATGTTAATATATCTGTTGCTATTAAATTTTTTGGATTGTAGTAGTTTATTCCACTTTGATTAGCATTGTTTATTTTTATCATATATATTTACAGATCGCGAAAAAAATATTCGTAATCGACAAAAACTTGAGGGACAGTTAACGGAAAATAAACTTGTGAAAACTGTAACTTTTCCTTTGTTTCCTTATTTTCTTTGTAACTTCCAGTTAGCTAGCTTTAGTTTTTTATATGTTTGTGGTGTATTCATCAATAACATATCTAATATGTGGATTAAATGATGATTACATCGTTATATCTTTTTCGGAGAATGACAGAGGGATGGAAGGTCAGTGTGATATTTTGCAATTTTTGTTTTAATTGGCTTAATTCTTCTTTTTTTATAGAGCTTTGCCATGTTCATGCTTCATATATCGATTTATGTTTTCTTTATCTAATTGTTTCGTTTTTATAAATGTTAGGAAAAGACCATAAATAATACAGAATCAAAAGGTTTGTTGAGAGATTTTGTGGGATTAAAAGCTAATTTCAAGAATAAAATTACTTCACAGTTTATGCATTTCAGGAGCTTGATCTTCTAGAAGAAGGTGCAACAGTATACAAATTGATTGGACCAGTGCTATTTAAACAAGATCTTACCGAAGCAAAACAAAATGTTGAAAAACGTATAGATTATATCATAGCTGAAATGTAAGCTTTTTTTATTTTCACTATCATAGTTTACTGCAATAAATTTTAGATCTGATAAGCTATAAGTTATAACGGACGAGAAATGATTGGTTTAATAACAAATTTGGTAATTCTTTAGTTTAGTAGATTAAAATCAAAAATTTAATTTGCATTTAATGTTTTTAGAGGAATGGATTAGTACTATTTTGAGATATCAAGTCTTATGTATTGTCTGAAAAACTATAAAATGTGTGTTTCATATCGTAGGAAAGTTCTTTTTGTGCACTCTCGCACAGTCCATTTAAGTATTTCACAGGTTTTTCATAGTTAGTGACGGATAAAGTACTTGGTAGAGTCCAAAATTGATTATATTAATTTTTAGACAACATATAAAACTTAATATTGATACTTGTTTATGATACCGAGCTGTTTTGTATTAACATATTACCAACTGAAATAAATTATAGAAGTCGACTAGAACAAGCGATAGCAGATGCTGCAACAAAACAAGAAAATCAGAAGCAAACAGTGATGAGGTTACAAAATGCAGTAACTCAGCGGTTCCGGACTAAATGATTGCAAAGTATTTGAAGTGATTTTTGTTCAACGTGTTGTTATCGTTGGCTTTTTTAGATTATAAAACTTTATCCTTAATCAAAATTCTGAATCGATACTAGTAATTGCTTTTCGAAAAGCAATGATTTTATGCTCAGGAATTAGCGGCTCAATATATATTTAAAGCGTAAATTATCTGTGATGCTTAATTGAGCCGTGAGAAGTTTGTATCTGAGTATTATTTTACGATTCAAAAGTTCACTTTGGAGTTATGGTACATGAAAGAGCTAGTTGCGTTTCGCGCTAACGCCATGGTACATTAGGACTAAAATTTTTTCATAAACATCTGTTAACTAAATTTTCCTATAATTTATGTACATTACCCTCTGAATGTTAAAACTACAGAAGTTGAATAGTGCTCTTTTGTTTTAATAAGATATCAAATCTTAAGAAATTATTCAAATAGTTTTTTAATTTTGTGTGGACTTTGAATTCATTGTTAGTCATGAGAAAAGATGTATAACGTTTTGAAAAACACACACACACACACGAAAACTTGATAGATGATACGATGTGACACCTTATATCAATTTGTGAATCCCTTTTACTGCAGTAAACTCATATTGCTTTTATTCTTTTTTCTTTTCTTTATTCATGAAATAATTATTTTTCTTCGCTTTATTTTTTCCTGTGAAGTGTCGATAATTCTCGAATTTATTTTTATTATTTTAATCTCTTTGGGAAACTTGATTTTAATGTGTAAGGATTGATAGAAGCGAATAATTCGGATGTCTTTTGTCTTCCAGAAGTCACCGTTTTTCCTAAAAATGTAAGAATGATTTATAGTATTGAAGGTATTTCCGACATGGCCTCGATTTCTATTTGTTATTTTTTATTAACCGCATACAATCAGACAATTTATAGCTTTTTTTTTAAAATTTAATTTAAAGGAGGATTTCCTCATATAACGCTTTAAAATTTATGTCTCTGCAAAACTTTAGAAAAATTGGTTTCTTACAAATACTAATTTCCCATATAAATCTTTTAGTGTCGCCATTATTGTCTCACTATTTTGAAGTCTTCTGTTCTCCTTCCACTACCACAGAAATCATTTCCCTCCTAAAACCTAACTAATATTCTTTTCTAGTTTTACGTAAATGTAGTTTTACTGATCTACTATAAATTCTAGATCTCGGCAGATAGGTCAGATTTAGTTGGGCTGAATTTTAGCTATCGAAATGATGACCTTGAAATTAATAGTCTTGTTGTATATGCCCTCCTGTTCTAAGACGGTTGAAATATCGTAAAAATATAGACTTGTAACCCACTTCCAACCGCATCCTTTCGGATGTGTTGCAACTCTTGTATTGACTTCCGGATGAATCGGATGCAGAAGGATCAGTACCTTCGGCTTCCCTTTGTTGGGATTTCACCGTCCTCACTGTTGGCATGATATTTGCGCCGATGGATAACGCATCATGTTCCTTGGTTAAAATTATCTTTTTCGATCTTGCGGGTGCCTGATCCAGATCTGTTTGTTTAAGTAAGATAGTTGAAGCTCTTTCCCGCGGCACTTTACTCTTTCTTGTTCTGACTTCATACTCCATGCTGGAGTTACATTCTCGCACATCCGTCCCATTCCTAACACTGGCTTCGCCCTCAACCCTGAGAGTTTGAGTGGATGATTCGGAATACCTGCTTGGCTGTGTTTTTTCTACATGGACTGATACAGGTCTGGATTTCCTTCTCCGATCTGACACTTCCCTTGTTCCACTTTTTTTCTCTTGTGATTGAGTATTTCGCGTTTTGCAATATTTTGCTATTATTTTTTCTCCGTTTTCGGTCATCGAATGTCTGGAATCGTTTTCTTGTTCATTAATTGCCTCATCATCTTCATCTCCGTCTTGTTTGATCACTTCAGTACTTCCGATTTTGGTCCCTGTTGTAATTTCTCTTTTAGGAGGTCAAATATAAATTTGATACTCCTTATTCTTAGCGTTAACAGTAGACCTGGTATTCAACATTTTTCGAAGTATTGTAATAGGTTTTAATAAAACAATAAAGATCTTTCTTTTATTCAATGATTAAATCAAAATAGGGAAAAGACTAGTTTTAAAGTGAAGCAGTAAACTTAGTAGTAGTTGGGAGCTATTTTGGAATTTATATAATGTCTTACCTTGTCCACAGTTTTTAATAACTATTTCAACATTTTCTCCAATGTTGTAAGCCTAAAACGGAAAGATTAGATGATTCTAGTTTTAAAATAGAGAAGATTCTGGAACATATCACGCATATTTCCACCGCTGGCAAGCATGCATCGCGGTAAAATATTCCAGAATCTCGATGAGATATTCCCATTGGAATTAACGGGAAATAAATCTAGTGGTAATTTAGAAAACATACGACATTAAGGTTTTCATCGAATCGAACATGATCCTTTACACTACTTCCAGTTGGTTTCGCGTTTGTAAGATCATGCTCCTAAATTTAAATTAAGTCAACACTTAATGCTACTGATTAAGGGGAATATTCAAAGCATGCGACTTGTATTGATTAACTAACAAGAATGTGTAATTTAGGACATTCAATAATGAGTGGTCCTTTGAACTGGAATGCTGAAGCATCGAATGGCTCCGGCAAGTATTTTCCTTCTTCTTCGGGCGGTGGCTCCGCTCGCCTGCAGTTCTCGATCAGACTTTTCGCTAGTTCATCTTCCGTTGCTCCTATTCAATAATATTGTTAGCTATTAACAGACATATTCACCACTTGATCTTTTCTAACGATAACTACTGATCAGAAACTTTGTCATGTAAACGTGTCCTCTGTGTCTGTCGGAAATCAGCGGTACTACTAACAGACCATCATTCTGAATAATTTTAATCAGACATTTTTATTTTTACATTTTTTAGTTATATGAACACCAACCGCTTTTTTGGCAACAGCAGTATATAACAACAATGATAAAAAGAGAGGTAAGAATAATCAATATAGGTACACCTATAACTAAAACTAGGATGATTGCCAGCATCGTTCCTCCACTTCTGAAAAATTTATTACTATTGAAACTCTTTTTATTCATATAATGCTTACACGGTCTTTTATAATCTAGCAGGAAATTTTATAAAATCTTCAGGAATCATATGTTATTAGATTATGAAGAGGATGATGTTAACATTGCTTATGTACGTCACTTTGCTGATTATTTAATCTTATTGGATTTGTTACGAAATCACAGAATGATATTGAAAGTAGATTTCGGAAATTTCCCTAACATATATGAATTATTTTTTTCTCATCCTTGCAGTAATTTTCTGTCTCTGCTGATATAATTCATTGTAAAAGTTATCCTTATTTGGAAATATTTGCTGGAAATTTCAAAGAAAGAGAACTGTTGAATAGGCTTACCCCGGTTGAAAAACTTAATGTTTTAACCTTGAATAAGGCATTGGCAATTTTGTTTGTAAGATACAATTTCGGGTTCTTAGACGGTAATGAAACACATTGTACGTCGCTTCACTGAAAAGACCATGTTTGAAATAAAATCCAACTTTAAAAAAAGTATGGGGAATTTACTGAGCTTATCATATTCGTTCATCACATTCTTTAGGAGTGTAGCTTTAGCAGAGTGATATCAAATCTCTCTTGGTATTATTGATATAACGAAATTTATTTTTTAGAACTTCCTAATTCATAGAGAGTGGAAAAGAAGCTAAAATATGTGAAGTACTGTAGTGTCAATAACGTACTATCCAGTCTGTTCACAAAACAACAAATTAAGTTTGTTATTGAGATAGATGAAGTGAATTTTTCGTGCGTTAATTTTGGATAGAAATTCAGATTTGCGAGTGTGTGGAACAGTTAAATGATAAATTGGTTTTCGTCGTTTATAATATATGTTATAATTGCCAGGATCCAGCTGTGAGGCTCGAAAAAATTTTTTTGAATTTAGAATTTTAAATTTAGCGTGTATTCGTTGCAGAACGTCATGAAATATACATTATATCTAATACAAGAATGTGAATGATTGGATGCTAGCAATGTGTAACTTTTCAAAACTTTACGAATACATTGGTTTCAGAGTTATTAACTAATTACTGATCACGTGATCTAAATAATACGTTAATTAAAGTGAGTTGTCCAATAAATTAGTAATGGCGAGTGAATCAGCAACACAGGTGTACTCGAAGAGTTAAGATGGTTAACTTCGCAATTACTATCTTACAATACAATCATCAGCATGTAGTTTGATAATACATTTGACACGTATAATCATTTGATGGGAGCAGTTCTGCAAGAGTAATTAGTACCTTCGGTTTATCGGTGATTCTCCTAAAACTAATTATAAGATGAATGTAAACAGAAAACGTCTGATATTCAGCTTTCTAACATTTCACGGTCTTCTATCAAGAAAAATAAATTAGGTAACGTCTTGCGTGTGGCCTGAAAAAATATAGCAATCTAAAACTGAATAAATAAAGGAGTAGGTTCGAGTTAAGGTTATGGACACAGATTGGTTGAGAGAAAAGGGCGATTACAATGTCTTCAAAAATCTTACTTTTATTTGTTGGAATTTATAGGTAATTCTCTAGCATTAACTCAAGTGTAAAAATGTCCCTACAACTGGCCAAGAGTTAGAATGTGTACGAAGAAAGTCAACAATAAACATTAATAGTAGCTGGATCTACTGGCTAAGCTACTTCTTCCATTCCATGATTACACCTCATTTTTCATCTTTCGAATCTGTTCAGATTCCCTAACTGTGTTGGCTTCATTTGGCAGTCAACGGGTATTTCGCTAAGTTGCTGTATTCATGTTCCGAGATAACCCAAGGTGGTTTGCCTGGAATCTAGGCAGTGACAAGGGTAAGACAGGTGGTATTTAATCTTAAACAACTTAAAATTAATTAGTAAAGGCAGAGTAATCAATACAGCTTTTCATACAGCAAAGAAGTTGCACGTATACAAAGGACCTACTTCTGTTGAATATTTTATATGACAGCTGTTGTGAAAGCATTGTAGAAACTTTGCATATTGAACTTTGTTTTCTGCAAACTAATAAACTAATGAATAATGCGTAATGACTTACATGAGACGACAAGTCGGATTTTAAGTGTGCTAGTTTCCTGGTGAAAAGTGCTTTGTCAATGGGTGTGTTGTTTTAACGCACCAATGTGTTTTACATTTTTAAATTTACTTAAAGTTCTGTTCATTACTTTGTAGCATATGTCAAGATTTTCTAAAGCTAATAGAAACCTCAATAGCTGTATGCCTGGCAATAGTAGTTGGATACAAATAAAGTTATAAAGACGATGATAACATTAACCGCGAAAATAAAGCAGTTGCTTCTACCACCGTGCATTGCAGAAAATTGTAATAACAATCGTTTAAGTACCTTATTGTTTATATGCGTTTCGCTGTCTAGAATTTGCATAATTAAAAATTTGGCAGCATTGAAGGAATGAAATATTAAAACAAATTGAACTAAAGTTTAAGTGGGACGTAAGGAAGGTAGGAGGAGGTCGATGTGAATGGATAAAGTATGTGATATTCTTGACTCAGATCTCCAATGAGAAGGTAATATTCTATATCTTCAAATAAGCTTCATCGATCTGAGAGATAAAACACGTTCCATATGGGCGATTTTCATGATATAAAACATTGGTTTAGTAAGGGAGCAGGGATGCAGGATAAATATAACTGAACCTGTCAACGTTATACTTTATGACATAGGAACAGTGTTTCCGAGCTGATGAAAGTCAGAAATAATCAATCCCTTAATCAATCCCTTGATTATTTCTGACTTTCATCTTGATTTTTTGATTTTTTTTTATTCGGATGAGTTTAGTGCCAAATCCAAAATTACGAAAATTTCAGTGAATTTTAAAGGCAAAGCATGAGCAAACAAGGACATAAAACAAGAGCAAACTTACCAGCTGGTGGATTTTTGGCGATTGGACGTGATGTCACATCAACTTCCGATACCAGTCGCTCAAAACCTCAAATTCATAAACGGGAATTGCCACAGGTTAATTCTATAGTAATTGTTGGTCGTAATTTCCATTTGCGATTTTAATTTCCGAATCTGTATTTGCAAGTTTTTTGTTCCTTTCATTCACTGTGTATTCATAGAACTCATTTTGTTTAAATCCGAATTATTTTGGTTGTTTCTTCGAAAAAATATTAAAATATTAGATAAGAATTCAGCTAAGAGATTAACCTACAGAAAAATAATGACTTAATATGATGAAGTACGATTATCTCTCATTTGCCTAACATCACTTAGTTATTGTTCTATCCCTAGGGAAACTTTTTCATATAAGTCGTCATACTACCTTATTTTTTTCACACTGGATGTTGCAGGATAACACTTTACCATTGCACGTTACTGAGTAAAAAGGTTGGAGGAATTTCAAATCTTTATCTAACTTATTTCAGTATAATTGTTTGGTTACAGTTATCAAGTGGTGCTTTGAAGAAGCCTCGTCTTGACTTTTCTGGGAAACTTCTTTCCAGTACTCCATCAACGAGTTCCGTCAAGCGTGCCGAAGTCGACGATTCAAGATGGCGTAGTTTCTGTGCGGAAGTAAGCGCTTTTCTATGCAATAGAAATATGGTATTATGCACAATTTCGCGTAATCTCGAATCCTGGAAAGGTATTTTGTGGTTCTAGTAATGACAGCAATATGTTTTCGCATCTTTGGGAACATTTTGCTTTGCAGATCAGTAGGACAGTTGAAAGATTCTTTTTTGTAGCACAGTTATAGCAAATGGATGAACTATCCAACAAACATACTGTCTGCAGTTTGATTTATGTCTTTTTGGATATACTTCAGATACAAATAGAACCTAAACAGTTATTGGCATCGCTGGAATCGGCGAAAGAGAAACAAAAGCCACAAAAAGCCGCACGACTGATATGTGCTGCAGTACGAGAAATCATTGATCACCGTAAAGAAACCGGTAGTTGGGTTGAGGAGCCAATTATGTGTTCAGCACTTATGCTCTTCGTAAAAATGAATACCTCATTTTTGTTGGTAACTAGTCTTTATCTGATATCATAGATTAAAAATAAGGGAAAAGATTGATGATTAGCATTACGAATATTTTTTCTTTGGGACTTATGACCAATTGGTTAACTCTGTGAATATGGACTGAATCAATTGGAAATAATTACTAGGAGAATTACATAGTTAGAGTTTTGTAATCTATCTGGTTACTCTTCCCATTTATTGTAAACGTAAGACTTACTGTTTATTTTTATATTTTTAGAACTATTCTTTGAGCAGGTTAATAACAACACATTGTTGAATCAAACTGATGTAATGTTTTTTTTTTTTTTCTTGAAATTCTTGAAATTTCTCAGACATGTGTCCAACATGCAGTGTTATTTCTGTAGACTTCATGTCCCAGTATGTTGAATTGAATTGATGTTGAAGAACTTAACTTTATTGCAGCCGCACGAAGAATTGATCGAGGTACTTTGTTCTCTACTATCAACGAATTTCCCGACTTCTTCGCCTGGCTCAGCAATGGCTCCTTTGCGTATTTTTTTATTTCTTAATCTAATCTTTATTCGTTATTTTTCCGGTTGATTTCCTAACTGGTCGTTGGCTTTTGAAATTTTCACATGATATATAGAGTCTAAAAGTTGAAAAGCCAAAAAGAACTGAGAAACTGGTGCATGAAATGGGTCAGACAGCTGACATTCAGTAGTTCTTTTAAAAGGCAATGCTTCATTTGCTAGATTTGCAGCGTACTGTTGCAATTTCATTGAATTATACGTTTTAACAAGTTTTCAATTTTAGTAATGATATTATATGCGAATATTTTTGTAGTGTTATACAAACTTTTGATGGGGGCGACCGATTGGAACTGGCGGTTGGTTGAAAGTTTTATTGATGATAGTTTGCATGAAAGACAATGGAGTGATCGACCATCAGTAGATGGCTTGATTGTGAATATCATAACAGCTTTTGGTACTCGGATCCCTCACGAATCAATGTATACGGCGTGTGATTTGACTTATCCGGAACGTTATCGGACTGTGGTAATAACTTTCAGCCTGGATCAGAATTATCTAGAGATATGTGATATAATTAAACGGGATATTTGTGTCGACATCCGATACAAATATTGACGAACAGTTTTCACCTGTTCTATTTTAATCAAAAAGTTCTCCTTTTTTAAGCTTTCTGTGTAATATTTCATCCCACATATTGTTTGGGTTGAAATTTATTATGAAGGAATAATCTTAGGCAACTTTCCAAAGATTTTTATTATAGGCTGAAATAAATCGATTTACAAAAGTGAGTGACAAGGAGCAGAAAATTGATGCGTTTGTGATGCAAATGAGAGATATATGTGAACGGAAAGGCGAAAGTGCGCCAAGAAATTTATTGAAGACAATGTGTACATGTGCGGGAAATGGAAACGTCAGATTATTGGCTGCACGAAAAATGGATTCATGGTTGCTGAATGGGAAGGTATGTAATTGGTAATGAAATATTCTATTATAGAAATGTGATATTAGTCGAGATGATCATAAGATAGTTATCATACATTATTAGTATGTTACTGTTGTCTTTTATTATTTATAGAATACAGCTTTGTTTTTGTCTTTGTTTGGTTTTAACTTTCTCGATTTTAATTATACTTTTTTTAATTCTGTTACTGTATAAGTATATTAGTATGTAATGTTTTCACATCCGACATAATGCTCGTACCATAATGTTAAAGGAGTACATTAATCAATTAAAATGTGACAGTAATTAAAAATGAAATATTGGGATTTGCTTACTCAAAGTAATCTGGAATTTGATGGACTTGTTTACTTTCTTTTTCCTGATAAAATATCATTTAGTTCTTTTTTTATAGCTTCAAAGATACGCCATGGAATTACTTCTATGGATTGCAAGTAATATAGGCCAGGGTGAGCTTACCGAAGAAGATAGTGAAACATTAAGCTCTTTACTAAAATTACGGGCATTGAAAAGCAAACAAATCAATATCTTATTCAATATCGCCTTAAAGTAAGTGATAGTTTATATAGTTGACTTTCACATTCTCTTCTATTTTCTGCCCAAGAAAACTAGGTGTAGTTTCTGAATAACATGTATGAATGGAACGAAGTCGAAAGTGAGTTTGAAGATCATACAATAATCATCTCATTATTGGTTAATATTAAGAGGGATTAATAATTAATGAACACTACTTTGATCCTGTTCATCTGAAATCCTCTTTATTATATGGTCATATGTGAAAAATTAGCCGTTTTGTAAGACTTTTATATGGCTTCCGTTGAAAGTTCCTATGGAAGAAACTTGAAATGTCAGTTAACGGTACTGTCTGTATTAATTTTTTTCAGGGAAATACTGAACAGTGACAAAGAAATGATTTCTTCCGTAGCAAAATTATTATTATCAAATGAATTCTCGGCGAATCGTTTCCCGTACAATATGACAATGATACATTCATTATTTTCCTTCGACAACCATTCTGCATCCAAAGTAACTAAAATTATGAAGATTATCGTTACCAGGATCTAGAGCTATTGTTGGAAAATCGGATTGTTTTACCTATTATTAGGCTTTCTATTCAATAATTGCATTACTATTATTCATTTATTGTTTTCAGATATTTATATTTGAAGAGCCAGATCAAAGTAATAATGATGGACAGACAAAGTTCTTATTCGAGAGTGAAAAACATGTTAGCTTTATCTCTGCACCATTCATTCTAGGTTATAGCACGGGAAATTGCTCAAATGCTCGCAGCTAAAGAGGAATATCTGCGAATATCTAGAACATTTCTTCGAGAATTTGTACGATCATTGTTACGAATGGATTTCGATTTTGCTCTTTTCACTTCCCATTTGTTCAACGCCGCAACTGAAGATTTCTCAGTTTTAGCCATTCCCGTAGGATACTTTCTTTTTTTTCCTTAATAACATTACTTATTTGACTTTTTATGTACATGTTACATCTATCCTCTAATACTTGAACTAATTATGTAAAAGCAGAAGATACTTAAGTTGTGTAGAATAATTGTTGTTTTGTAAATATCTTTTTTTTTTTTTTTTTTTCTAAAGCATTCTAACCACTTAAATTCAGACTTTCTTCTTTAAATCGTTGATTGACTTCTGTGTGATGCTACCATTTTTGGCAATAACACCTACTATTCGAGAAGCATCTCAACAGCGACGCAGTGCTAATGGCAATTTGACGCAAACCCATATTGATGCTTTGCAGAAGTTTGCAATCTTTGTTATTTCTTTCCGTGAAACATTTCTGTTTACATTTCTTGATGTCTTTTTCATCAGATTTAGACAGCTTCCGGCTGTTCATGTTATAAAAGGCAAAAAAGGAAATGTTATTGAATATATGGTGTAGTAATATATATAAGAGCTTTTCTTTGCTTTAAATTAATCGCATTTTTTCTTCCAGGTTTTATGCTGATTTAAGAAATTTCTTCGAAATTTGTACATGTTTTTTTTGCAAACATTGTGAATTATGCACCGATAATCGTCTATTTGTTTACTCATACTATCGAATCCTTTATTTGGCCCCAGTTAGTATTTTGAACTTTTTAATCCTTTTTTTTAGCTAGAAAAAATTCAATTATTTCATAATCTGCTCATTTTCTTACCGTTTAACGTAAAAGCGCAGCTGTGAACCACACTATATTATGTTTGAGTAGATTACTACATATTTGTCTCTTGGAATATTTATTTATGATTTATTAATTACATCATGCACTGTGAGTTGTGAAATTAGCGAGACGGCATAAACACATAAGACTTTTGTAGTTTGCAGCTGTCCCAAATTACTAGGAGCTGGAGAATTAATAATTGTTAGTATTGGATGGTTTAGGTTACTTATTTTAACAACACATCGTTATTTGAGAAGGAAAATTTATTTTTGATCTTTTTCATAACAAATTTATCGTACAGGCTGAGTATTACGCTAGTATCGATCAGTGGCCGATTGAAGCAGATGTAATGCAATATATGCGTGTTATTTCCGATGTTCCTATCAGTGAACAGTTACTGTGCACAATACTGGAGGCTGGTTCTGATCCCTCAGTTCCAATTGATGCTGCAGATACGATTGATATTATTGAGAATCTCACAAAACGAGCTTCGTTGTCTTCTACGTTAACAGGTTAGCTCGTTTTTATTGCTATTTCACCAAATTCAACTCAGACTAAGAATAGCATTAACCTGTTGATTTTCGTCAGTCGGCAATACTAATGAGCACAAATGAGCGGAATAATTTTGCATTCACACTGTGTGTTTTATAGAAATCGGAAAATACATCAAAAAATATATCCCTATCTATAAAGTACGAGATGCATAAGATATTTTTTCAGAGAAATAAAAAAAAAAAAAAACATGGTGCAAAGTGTTGCCGATTAAGTTCAGTAGTTTAAATTATATAGTGCTAAAGCGATTAAATAATCTTGATTGGTGAACTTAGGAGGTCGATTTCTTTTGGTAAATATTAACATAAGTAATGATTTCGTTGAAGAAAATTAACGATATTAGCCGCCAGTCATTTTTCACAAAATTAATCGGTCATTTATAGGTGGCAGTATGGTTCCAATCAGCACCTCTATTCTTTTGGAAACTGTATTCAGAATAACGGAATACAAACCACCGCCAACTTTCAACGTTCAGGAGTGAGTGTTCTTTTGTAAAAAAATTCCCTATAATAACTTAAGCATTCTTAAATCTGTACCCGTTACTTCTTCAGTGAAGATCTTCCGCCATTGGCTGTTAAAACGTTGTATTGGAAGGCATGGCTCATTTCTTTGATATGGACATCATTGAACACAGATACATTGGTTAAGGAGGTCTACTACAAGTATCCGAATTTAAAACTTATTATGCAAATTGTTTTGACGTGGTAAGTCATTTTGAAAAGTACATATTGAATAATTGCTGAGTTTTCATAATATTATTGGATTACATTAATGAAACGTTGACTGTGGTAGATGTTCATTGCACGGAGTGAAGTTATACCTTTAAAATTAAAGATTGTTGATGAATTCAGGGATTATTCATTTCCACCGATGGCGAGTATGGGTGATCGAATATATGCAGAGAAACTTATTGAAGATGATGAAAAGGCCGCTTATGAGGAAAAAATAGCAATCAAAACTTTGGAAACTCGATTGGCCGGGATGGAAGTGAGTGATTCAAATTCGAAGCTTCTGCACAAATTATGTAATTTGGATATAAAGTAAGTAGATTTTTGTTTCATTTAAATTTTTGTCCTTTATAACATCAAGAATATACTCATGGGCGATTGTTTATTCGTATTGAACAAAATTTAATTTTTTAATTTCAGTGGCGTCTGTCGACGACCTCCGGACAACATCATGCGGGATTTGGAAAAACTCAATGAAGATTTAGATTTGTCACGGCTTCTGAGCGAATGCAGAGATCCTGATTTGCTGGCAGATATTGTCAGATCTCAAGTTTGTTGCTAACTTTCAGAGAATTTGTGTTTTCTGTTGCTTGAAGCATGACGACCGTGATTCTCGAACGCAGTCATATTTCCTCTTAGATTTATTGTAATATTCTACTAATATAATTTTTTAGGGTAGCTCGAAAGCTCTGCCATCCATAATAAATTTGGTAGAATCAAACTCAAACGCTATAGCTCACTTACCTCTTGAATGTATTTGTGAGTTGTTTCTGCACTATATAGCTTCTTCGTCATGCTGTGGCAATATAACGCCAAGCTCAGAAAAACTGAATGCGGTTGGTGTTTTGAATCTTCCTTAATAATTGCTATTTTGTTGTTGCAGTAAATAAGAATTCGTTCATTTGCGTTATAGAAAATACCTGTGTCAGCACCTAATTTGTATGACAAGGAGTGAGTGGCAGAGATCCTCGAGATTTATAGTACCATATGCTCTAAAAGCGTCTAAATGCATATTACGTTGGGTGATAGTCTCAAAAGTCATGATTTGAGCAACAATCAGTGCCCAATTTAGATGCGTCAGCGTTTGCGTAATGCCATAACGAGTCCAACTGCTACCAGAGCATCGGTACTGGAAACATTAGAATATCTGGCAGTTCATCTTGCTGCTCATTCGGTATCTGAACGTTGTGCTGCTGCTCACTCAATGGCATTGCTTCTTGATGTAAGCCATAATTCTTTTTTTCCAACTAATGTTTGAAAATTTTCTTTTCTTTTTATTTTTATGTTTTTAGAAATTTTCTTTTTATTCTCATTTTGATTTCTGAGCATTATCAAACAATATATATATATAAACAGTATATTTGTATTCGCTGCCTTTGGCTTCAATTTATTCTATTAATTCGTGATTGTTAAAATTAACATTTTTTATAGGCTTCTTGCCTGAAATTTTCTTTTTTCTTCCATAGAAAAAGTGACTAAATAATTGCATTAAAAATTAAATTTAGGTAATATTAAACCTTTAATCAAATCGAAATAATGCCGCTTATATTTTACTTAAAGAATTTAAGCTAGTGGTGATCAAGTGAAAAATTAAACGTAAACATTTGACTGCTTTAAGTATTAAGTAAAGTAAATAAAAACCAGAAAAAAAAAAGTAAAAAACACATGCATTTGCAGCATGATACAAAAGTGTTGCCAATAGCAACGAATGCAACACCAGCTGGAAGTCTTCATAAAGTTGCATATTTCAGTGAATTGAAGGTTCCTTATCTCCTTATTTTGCTGCATTGATCTCTCCATAATTACGATTCAGCAGATTTTTTTCCTTTTGTTATAATTAGGACCACCTTTTTTCATTGCAGATAGATTAGACTCTGTTTTTGAAAATCTTTTGCTAAATGCGTGCATTCAAATGCGTTTATGAAAATTGAAATAGGATGTCCTCTAAAACAGATCTTGTTTGTTTCATTTTGTTCTTCCGTCCTTTTTAGCATCGAATTTGTGCGCTATTGTCGCAAGCTTGTGCTGTGGAAACTGATTTAAATCGTTTATCAGATTACTTGACATTTCTTTTTGAATATGCAGATTCAAAAAACCTGCATTTGGTGAGTATTCTGTTAATTGCTTCGTTTCAAATTATATTGTTTGGAAAGGACTGATCATTAGCCATTACTGTTATATTGTTTAGGCAATCTTACCTAAAGGTTGATTAAGATGATATCTAAAAACCAGTTGATTCCTAACTCATATGAGGAAGAATCTAATTTGAGGGTGTCGACAAAAGACGTGTGCTTTGTTACTACGCAAGCACCGAAAGTCTTCTACTCTTAGGTTGATATCCTTTTACACTATCCTGGAGGAAGCGATTTTCAGGTTGCACATTACATTTCAAATATGGTTGAACGCTTGAAAGATGGCAGAGAAGCGGATATCATTCGAATAAATGCCATAAGCTTCTACGAAAGATATTTCAAAGAAGTTGAGCAAAATGAAGTTGAGTGGACAGAAAAATTAGAAGCGCTTTTACCACAAAATGTAAAAAAAGTGACAGTTTGTGTAGAGAAACCAGATATGGTATAGTTATTTGTATTTCATCTTAATGTTTTCTTATTCCGATACTGTTTCTTAGGCAATTCATTATTTTTGATTAAAAAAAGTTATTAAGTAACTCATTCGTTGTCTGCTCAATGGTAATTGATATGAGCTCAAATAACTTGGATTGGTAATTAAATAATGCAAATATTCCTAGCAATCATAATGATTTTTTTACGTTATCTTTGTGAATTATCATTAATTAAATGATATTACTCTAGACGATATCTTCATTGACGATGATTTCAACAGCGGTTAGTGGGATGTTGCAATTATTGTGCAGTCAGTGGAAGAAGAAGGATAGGTTAGCTACACGAGTTCTCATGGATCTTTGGTTTCCGACATCAGGAAAACGACCAAAGGTGATAACCTACATACATTTTAAATTTAGTATTATCTTATAGTTGATATCTCATTTGTTGAAGGTTCTCAATGCGGATGGTGTTGAACTTCTGCCTACTTGGTTGAAACTTAAAATGCTTCGCACTGAAGATGATCGAATCATCCGCGTTAGTCTTATTGATTTTATTTGTTTTTGATTCATTACTTTGAGTTCGAGCTATTACTGTGCATAGTAAAATCTGAGTTTTATGCAATTCGATCTGTCCATTGATACAAAAATCAACTGTGGACAAGGTAACAAAATCTCTGACAATTTTCAACTTTTGGAATTCCAGTCTTTATATTCCTGAATTTATTTGGCGATTATGTAAGAAAGAATTATATTATGTGAAGTGTTGAATTTCATCTCTTTCTTTACGTTTCACCATATATCTTTAAAAAAAAATTGCATTCGGAGTTTTTTTTCTTATGATCGTGATGGTGTTTTGAGACAGTTTGTTTATATATGGCAATGTTACACCAAATCAGTTAAAAAACGTGATATGAAGAAGAGTGGGTTCTAAGGGAAAGGATTTAATAGATTAACCAATATTTTGGGTCCTAATTTAGTATGTTCATTATTTTCAAATTTGTTTTGCTGACTTAATGAATTGTCAAGGTTATTTTCTATTTTTGTATGGTATTTTTTAGGTTGCAATGGACGACATGAAAGTTAAAGATGCTTTGAAGTTTGTTCAGTCATTTGCACTGACATCATATAGCTGTACGAAGTTACTAGCAATTCTAGATAGTGATGAAACACCACTGGAAGGTGACTTATTAGAAGAAGCTCAAAGAGCGTCAATGTTTGTTCGGGGTTATAAATTACGAGACGCCAAAGGTGGTGAGAAGGTATAATTCTCTGCACTTAACCACTTTTGTTATTTATTAAAGTGAAGTTTTTTATGTAATTTAACTGAGGCAAATTAATTTTTTCTGACTTATTTTTGACAAATTTCATACTGATTTACTTTATGAACATTTCAAGTAAGTAACAAGATTTTTGAGTTTTTTCACAGTGCAGGAAGGAAAAATAAAATATTCACATAGTCGTCTTGCTTATTTGAAATATTCATATAGTCATTTGCTTAACATATTGTCTTAGAAAGTTTCGAGGACTTTTAACAACAAACATGTTTTAAAGAAGTTCAGAGTCGAAGTTTTAGCGTTGAGATTAAACTATAGCCGCAAATCTCACATTTTTCTAGAAGATGTTCTACTTTTCTTCCAATTAGATTTAATGAAAAATTAGTGCTTGCCAAATTTCGTCGATCATTATAGTTTCTGGAACGTGTAACTGAAGCTAAAAGTCTACATGAATGTGTAAAAGTGGAAGTTGATGAAAATGATATCTATATGAAGTTGAATTCATTGCCAGCTGTATTCGATGCGGATGATGTTGATATGAAACGAATAACATTTAATCATATCAGCGTGACTGAACTAATCAGTTGTATTGAACGGGTAAAAATTCCGGATTTAGTCATGTTTTCGTATTAGTCTATTTTCAAACTTATTTGAACTTGTAATTCAAAACTTTTCCAAAATTACACCGAATTAGGAAAACTTGGAAGATTGCGAAAAATATGGTAAATTTTCATCAAAATGCATCTCACCAACACTTACTGTCTACGGAAACAGCAGTGCGTCTTTTTTTTTTGCTCCCATAGGTAGTAGATATGATGAAGACGATATACAGAAAGTAGATCAGATATAGTTCATTTAAATTGAAGAAATCTATCTTTAAATTTGAAGAAATTTTGAAGGCAGTCCAAGAAGGCAACGAACCGGAAGAATGGCCATCGGTAATTTTTGAACTGTCAAACAACTTGGAATGTTCTCGTGCTGTTATTTCTTTGTTAAAAGCTAAACCGACCATATTATCTTTTGCAGCAGTTGCTATACCATTATTGATTTCGCTAGTCATTTCAAGAAATAAAGTAAATTTTTTTTAGTTTTAGTTTTAGCAAGTATTTAGCAATCGGTCGTGTTTTTTACCGCGTTCAACGGACTATTCGAACTTCTGATTTAATAATGAAAACACCTTGTTGCTTTGATGATTAGTGTTTTACAATTTTCCGGGAAATATAAGTCTTTTACTCAATCTTTAGTCTGAAGGGCTTGGAAGAATGATGTTAATCAAACATGGGATAGAATTGATGTCAATATGCAAATGTTTTAGGATGCTTCTCTAGTCGGTGATTTTGACTCCTTGTGCAATAATGTGATCAACACACCGAATCTTCACATTCCGGAATCTGTACGCAGAATTTTATGCAGTCGTGGTGGAGGTATATTTTATTGCTACTACTTTCATGTGAAATTACCTGAAATAATTTCGACCTTCACTTCATCGTTGTACAATGATTATTGGTACTAAATCCCAGCATTATAATATATATATATATATATATAATTTTTTTGAAAGATAGATTTATAGAATATGCGATCGAAACGGAAAGTCCATGCTCGCCAAATTATGATACGTATGATCCGGAAAGTATCCTCATGCGTTTGTCAAATTCTGTTGGTATGGTTAGTGTAAGATATCTATACATAAAATAATTTACTTAAACGTTCTGGGTATTAAAGATATTTTTGAACGGACTCTTCAGTCACACATATAATTTCGTGCTTTTTCTATCAAGTTATGTGATTATTTGTGTTTGCTTCCAAAAAACCTTCATAATTAGCTTGTGTCTTCCTGCTTAGCATACAATGCTATATATTGTCATGAAAGTTACTGTTTCTTGTAGGATGATATGCAAAGTCGTCTGATGGAAAGATTTTTGGACACTTGTCCGGAGATATTGCCTCATAAAGATGATGATGATGATCTTGGTAGTAAATCGCGTACCATACTGGAAATATTATTCTCATCCAAAGCATCAACACTTCAGTATATCATTTCGTTGCTGCCTACAACATGTTCTTCAGCTACATTAGCTAAAATAATTGAGTACCTGCTTGAATCACATCGATCTCAGTGAGTTTTGATTTCTTAGCCCTTCATTCTCCTTACGCTATTTCTCTTCGGAACGTAAAATATGGTGATATCTAAAGTAATTATATTGCTTGTAGATGGAATCAAATAAATATTTCGAAAGTCAATCTCATGTAGTATTTGAGTGATAACTGATATTCAGTCTTACTTAGTAGCTTCTGTAAAACCATTATAAGTCATAAATTCTGACTTGATGTGCTATTTTCGATAATTTACATACAAGAAAAAACGTATTTCATATATCTTAAAGTATAATTATTTCATTGCAGATTTGTAGGTATGTCAGTGATACGAACCATTATCAGTGCTTTTCATGCTTCTAAAACATATGTCCTTTCGACTAAACAATGTGGTGTTTTCATTCATTACGCTCTGGCCGAAATGGAACGTCATTCGGATGATGTCATAATGTTGTTAATGAAATTTTTGGAAAATAATGCAAACATTCGACGTATGTTGTTCGTTATGACTCTCAAATGTGTATTTCAAATCAATCTATTTTTGATTGTTTTGTTGCCTTCATATCTAATATGTCATTAGATTCACGAGTTTTACTTCATCTTCATGTCGTTCTTGATTAAATATAATTAATTCTGGAATAATAAGGGATAAGATAGTTTGTTTCTATCGTTTCAAAATGCTCTAGATTTTTTTTAGGTGATGTAACACAAGGAATAATAACAGAAGTTTCCCGTGCTTTAACCTCACCAGACAACATTCAGCGGAAGCGTTTCGCACAGCAGATAGCTGTTGCTTTTGTGAAACGTTTTCCAGGTAATATTTAATTTACTAATATTTATTTTCAAACAACGCAAACCTTTTGTTTCTTTGAATGACGTCAAGTCATCTCCAATTTTTTTTTTTTGTATTACTTTATCGAAGAGTCATATTTCACTTTTTCTATCAAATTTGTTTGCTACTTGCAACTGAAACATCGAATGTTGAAGGAATATTCGGTCAGTGACGCTGTAAGGTTTTTTTAGGAATGATTTCTGTTGTATTCATGTCACATTCGGCATAAAATCTCATAAAGAAGATAGCGGAGTAGAGTTACAGGAATTGCTGTTAATCACAACCATATTTTGTTGCATTTTCTGGATGTATTTCAGATGCTCGACTAAAAAGCGATGCAATAGTGATCGACTCATATCGCTCCGTTTGCATTCAAGATCGAGCAGTTCACAATGCTATTGCAGAATTATTTTCTACTGCAGCTGCTCCTATGTATTCAATGGATCATAAAATCAGTACATTGGCTCAAATTGCGCGTAGTCAACCATGTGTCGTATTAAGGTAGACGTTCTTTGCCATGCAATATTTGCATAAATTTAAACACATTAGGTCAATATTTTTCAGTGAAGGAATTGGTCATATTCGTTCGTTACCTTGGTAGTTTCAGTTACTAAGCAGAGATGCTCTACTTTGTTTATACGATAGAATGTAGAAAGATATCAGTCTAATTGCATATATATATTGTTCTTTAATATGTCCAAATTTAACTTTCCATGCAAATATTGAAGCTTGCTGCTTTAAAATTTGCATGCGTGTTCCTTTGTCATATTCCACAATTTTGATTGTTACTGTTGTTGTGATTGAGTTTCAAACTAAAGCGTACTTCTTTTAAATAAATAAGCTAGTAAGTAATGAATTTTTTCTTTATAATGGAAATCTTTTAAATCATTTTTAGGAGGTAGAAAATTAATAAAGCCAAATAATGTTATTTCAGGCATTTTCCGTTGTTATCCGCCTGCTTAGCATCAGTTGCACAGCTTCCAGCACGACAATTACGAACGAACAATTATCAGTCATTGTTACAGTATATCCTGAAATTATTGTTAGATCTGGCTCCTCAGTCTTTTGAAGAAGTCGATCGTCTACAGTCCATTTTGCAGACATTTTTTACTCTTTTTGAGGTCTATTTTTGTTCCTTGCTGCTATCGTTGCCACCGTCATTTAGAGTGAATATATGAATAGAAAACATTTTTCATATTTCATACATTCAGTTCTAACTTATATAGCCGTCTTCCATATAACCATTAAAAAAAAATGAAACTAATAGCATTTTTAATCCTTTTAATCATTATTGCCACTGATAAGTGTGGCAGTTACGATATCAATTCTTGTATGCGTTAAGTGCTAATAGATGAAATATGTGGCATGTGGTACCAGTGACGAACAAAGCTGAAATAAATAAGTATTTGAGATTGAACAATTAAATAAGCATTTGGACCCAATTTCTTTTATTTTCATAAAACACTTCATTAATTAATTAATAAGTATTGCAGAATTTTATCTTCATAAAACACTTCATTAATTAATAAGTATTGCAGAATGTTGGGTGTGGACGAACATGGGTACCGTTGGCTCAAACACTACAGAATGTTTGTGTTGCATATTTGGAGCTGAATGCGAAATCAGCAAAATCGTATTTCCTAACGCAAATTGAAGCGATCAAACAGCTTTGTTTATGTTTGAAATCGCCTTCCTCGAAAATACTGATCGACACGATAATGTGTTTGAGCAGAGTCGAAGAATAATAATTTTTATTTGTCGGCTCGAATTTAAAAATTTTTGTAAATTTGGATTCATGAACATAAATTGTAACGAACACAGTGTGATTGTTTATTCAATTATGAAGAGTTATTTACGATGATATAAATATTTCTCAGTATATAAATTTTTTAAATCCATAAATTTTCTAAATTTGAATGTTTGAGGATTTATTTTATTTCTTCTGGTCTTGCTACCGCTCGCTTATTTTAATTTTTCTTGTTTGGAAAAAGAATACTGTCAACAATATTATTAATGGATTTCAACAATATTATTAATGGATTAAATGACTAGCATTGTACATTCTCATCGGCAAACTCATTTCTTGTTATGTCGTGCATGAAACTATCCACTACTGGAAGATTCTAATTAATTCCCAATGAGGTTTTGATGAAATCAGAACAATTTTGATGTATTGGTAATACTGAGAATAGAATGGATAGGATTGATTCGGGACTACCCAGATTTTTCAAATCATACAAGTTACCTTAATCGTGTATTCCGGACTATTATGTAATTCTTTACAAACTTAAAATGATGATCACTGCTTCATGGATAAGATTATCATGCCTTATAACGTCCTGAACTAATTTGTTGTGATGTCATGAAAGGTAGGATGAGAAAGATCTATGAGTGTATGTTTCTGAATTTCAGGAGTTATTTTTCCCTTTTCCACTGCTTTTTGCTTAGAAATGTAACTGCTGTTAAGCACTTCAACTATTTTAAAATCCAAAAAGGATAAATAACTGGGACGATGAGTGTTTCATATCCAAAATTTTTACCAAATGTGGCTAGGTTGGTCATATCGCTAGTGACTGATGTACGTGTACCATGATATGCATATCTTTAGATCGTTTACATCCTTTAGTGCTAGTCCTGCTCCATTTCTATGTATTTAAGTCATGGATTTAAGCAACGAGGTGAAATTAAACTGTAACTCGGTGTAGCTATTGTGCTCACTTGTTTAGATTTGAATTGAGAGGTACAAGTCATCTTGAATTCAAGAATTACTGCGAATACCTTACATTGCAGGACTGCTTTAGATTCAGAAGAGCGGAGTTTGAGAGGAATCTCTCTCTTCCTCTCTGTCTCTCTCAGTTCTTGTAATAGAAAGCTCTCCATCTCCGAATCCGGTCTGTAGTGTCCTCTTTGAAGGGTAACAAGGTGCCGTATCTCTCCTGCTGATATCAGAATACTCGCTTCTTGCTGTCTAAGATGTACTTTCTCGAAAGGTGCATGTAATTGCTTACATCCATATTTTGTTTTTTTTTTTTTTTTTCGGACCTGTCATGCATATGTCTAGAAAAGGTACATCTTCTTGCTATCTCATTGACATGAAATATTCGGTGATTCTGTTTTGTAAATTTAAGTCAAGTTGAGGACAACTTTCTCATTTCCTTGGATATTTCGTAATACTTCTGACATAGGAATAGTTGTTAACTCATTGAAATTTGTGAAATATATCATATTTAATACTTCAGGGATTTACAACCAGCAGATGAATAGGTGAATAAATTCGGAAAAGGGGCTACCAATTTGCTAGTTTAGTTCTTACTGTCCAACATACACGGACATCATTAGTATCCCACGCATATCATCGTGCTATCCATCCCAAGTGGTACTAATTTAGTGGTAAGAAAGCTTCAAATATTTCGTGTCCAGTTTGACATTAATTTGACCACACTGATGACAACCAGGGAAAAGTGGTAACATTAAAAAGCATGCTTTTCCGAATACTATTTATTGAATTTTGTTCATGTACCGCTAGATGAAGCTATAACAAATGGAGTAAACTCATCAGTACTTTTTTCTATTCACTCTGAAAATGTCCCGCAAAATAATTTCATAATTGGTATATAAGAGATTTAGTCAAACTTTTACACTTTCCATCACACGTTTCTTGTCACTATGTTGCTTTTCTACTATCCGGTCACCTGTTCGTCAAAAAAAAAAAAAAAAAAAAATAAGGTATTTGAGGTAGGTTTTTGTAGGCTACTGGGCTGAAACCTAGGGTAGCTCACTATGTGCACTCTTGGCCAGCAGTACTAAACCCAAATCCTGGACCATTCGGATTATCCTTTAATGTAAAATATCACACATAGAAATTGATATAAGGTGATAATATCTGTAGGAGAAATGTTTTTGTTTTTTCAAAACTAATATTCAAAACAATTTTAATTTGAAATTCTTTTCGAAATTTCCCACAGAACTTACCCTGCTTAGTTTGTTTTGACAACTCCCGAGAGATGCCAATTTGAATTTATCCAACTATTTATCATAACTTTAAAAAATTTTTAATTTGAATACAGGCTATAACGCCTTAGAACAAGTTTTCCTTTAGAATTAGGAAATCTGCTAAGGTTTTCACTTTTATCAGATTTCATGTATTATTCCTTATAAGCGAGACTAATCTGGACAAAATTAAGGCCAGTAAACTTGCAGAAAGCATTTATTATGATTGATAACAGTAAGTACTCGTAACCATGAAGCAATTGTTTATAGTCCCAAAGACAGCAACCAAATTAGTCTTTTTAGCCTCTTCGGGTTTTCTGGAATGAGCGCATCACTACTATCCAGGTTGGAAACAGCAGAAACATCATGCGACCGCACCATGCTGCTTGATGAACTTCGTGCCACTACGGTCGAATCTCCGGATCGCATAGCTCCATTCATGCATTTCATTCAAAGTGCATTCACTGATCTTTCGCGTCCAATTCGAATTTTGGCTTATCAATGTGCACTGAATTACATCTCCTCGAATCCATCTGTACAATTTTTTGTTATTTTGAAATCTGTTATTGCTGGTCGTTTCTTTTCAGGAGAAAGCTATTTTATCAATTTCACCTGCAGTTTATTAGTATATCTAGACCTTTGTTGTTTGCACCAGAAATGCAAATTCAAAAAATGAATAACACTAATAATTTATTGCCATTAATTAGCAAAAGAAATTGGGAATTAGCGTGTGCTCTATCCCTTTTCGTTAATAGTAATAAATGAAATTAAAATTCAAGAGTCTTTTATAATGCTTCGTTTCTTATAGATGAGTGTTCATTTCATGAGCGCTTACTCTGTCGCGTTGTTACACAGAAGTGCCGATATCAGCCTGCACGCGTTATCATTTCTGTCAGAATTCATAACCGCATCTCGATGTAATTTCCTTTAATATAAAATTAGAAAATTAGTAGTTGACAGACAGCAATTATCAACTAAGTTTAAATGGAATGCTTATACAGTTAGCATCATTGAAAAAGCTGTTGTTAATAGGACTGAGTCTAGCTTGCAGTCAAAGACATCTTCGTTAATTGTATATGCATCACATGGCATTAATTTCTCATATAATTACCAACACTCAAAGAACAACATCGGGCAACCCATACGTTTTGTTTTCTCGACATCAATTTTACCGTCCTGTCAAGTGAATGAAAATCAGATAATTATTATGCAGTGTACATAAATTTGTTTACAGGCATTTCAGGAAATTTACTTAGTGCCGCAGCTATCGCCGCCAATCGATGGCCGTCACCAGAATCGGTGACCGATCTTTCACGTGCAGTAACAGCATGTGCTAATTTTCGATGCGCTGATCTAGAAGAAAATAACAATTCCCAGGCTATGAAATGATTCTCATCTCTCAATTTAGTTGTTCTTATCTTTTTTAAATTGTGAGAAGAAAGTGTTTATACGTAATGGAATGTTTATATGTTTCTCTCGCAATAGGAAATTTAAATTTAAAAAAATGTACATATTTAATTAAGTTTAACGTCATCAACAACTTTTGGTGAGCAAAAATCCACATAACAGTTTTTTATCACGGAAGCTTTGTCAGTAAAACGTCACTACTGAATATTCACTGAAGTTTACTGATAGAATTATTAAATTCATCCTCGTTAATGTCGTAATTTTCGAAAAATTTCCCAAGCCTAAACCATTTGTTGAAAGCACCAATATCAATGATATCATCATATCGCTTCCACCACCACCGCCTCAGAATAGAATTTCGATTCTCATACAAGCATACCTGCAATGCAGGAATATGGTAAACAATATAGCAAATTTTAAAGAAAGTTTGTTGATTACTCTTAGGATGAAGCTTTTTATCTTTTTTTGCCATCCTTCAATTTGAGGAGATAAATCCAACTGTTTTCTGAATTCACGGATCTCAAATTTTCCTTATATGATCGTTTTAGTAACTGTTTTTATCATAGGCATCCCGTCGCTTTTACTTATCAGTAAGATATCTCATTTCTGCTGCGGCATTGTATTTGACATACTACATATCTCACTTCCCCCTTCCAGAACTCTCGAAGACCTTATCCCAATGTTAATAGTGTTTGGTTAATTAAACTTAATACTTATGGTCAATACTCTTTCATAATGAAATAACAATAAACGAGACAGGAGAGATTCTAAAAGAAATTGCAACGGAATATCATAACGCCATCACGGACAAAACAAAATAAAATAAATGAAACAGTGAAGTGGTGTCTTACGTCATCACACTCAGGTAGTATGATGAGGATGGAAAATAGAATGCAATCAATAAGTTTGAGTCGATTTTGATCTACATACAGTGTACGTGATGCAATTTCATCGTCCGCCGTTTTACTGTGTATTGAATTTGGTACAAGCACCATTTGTCTCCTTTTTTCCACCAACGAATTGAGCATATCTCTGTAAGAAAATTACTGAAATGTCAAAATGAATAAAAATTTCTTCAGCAAACTTAGCGTAGAAACCTCGTCTTACCGAAATGCATGCAACTGTGTACGCGATAAATGTAAATAAGTCAGCTATTAAAATAACTATATAAATGTGAAAACTACATAACATCGGAAGAAGATGTAAACTGAAACTGAAAGGAATCTGGAAACTTCGACAATGCGCATCATTCTTGGCTTATTTTCAGGACATCAACCACGATGGCAAACGTTAAAATGTGCGTATGAAATGTGCACTATACACGGACGTACACTACCTTTCATTCGGATTAGTTTTATAAGCATAAAATGCACTTCCAAATGGCAATAGCTTCATTGCCGTTATAATCGGTCTCCTTTTCGCATCTTTCAACAAATCTTCAACGACCACCAGGTAGTCATTTCCGACCATTTTCCAATAGTCAATGAACGTGAAACACCATCGTTTCAGGAATGCCATTAGTCGTCAGTTAAATAAAATCCTGAAAAGTCTTTCGTATGGAATGACTCAACAATTTTCCTATTTACTTATCCTCAACTGATTTAAACATTTAGAAAAGGGATGGCTATTACCATTCTTTTACACTTAATAATTCTGAAGCCAAAAGAGAAAGAGTGGGAGTTCGAGATTCCACTCAAACTTCTCTCAGTCATTCGATTCTGTTTCGTAAAATGGTCCAGCAGGTTACGTGGACACGCGAAGAGTCTAATATAAGGATGAAGCGAGTACCGATCTATTTGCTGATTTCATTTTAACGGACTCTATACTCAAGAAGTGATTACTGCAAAAAAGTTGTCATCGACCACGAAATACCAATCGGACTTAATGCTCTACCAACTTTATGGAAAGGGTGGCCTCATTTTGTTGGCCACGGGATGCGTTACGTAGTAAGCCAGGCGTATCAAGGCATTTCCATCCTGAATGTACCACTTTTTTATCCACGGTGCCTAGTGTGAGTGATTGTTCGGGATTTGTGAGAATAAAGAATAAGGTTTTTCAGCTACCACCGGAAATATGCCGGTAATAAACAACGAAAATACATCAATTTCTTTCTTTTCTTGACATCAGTTTTTCGTCTTTCAGAAAGGGATTTAAGTGCGGGCTAATATTACACTTTTCATGCGACGTTTTCTCACACAGCTGATTAGTCCGAAAGTGAATAACATCGAGAAACGACTACTTCAACTAATTCACTATGATATCATTTCATTAACACGTTCTTTCAAAAAATCAGTGTTTGTATTACTGTTAATTAGAACTAACAAAAACCATTATGCCTTACTAATGATGGATATATTTGAGGTAGAGGAGCAGTCGGTAAGTTAAGACGTTTAGCAAGTTCATAGCGCTTGGTAAATCGAAAGCATTTAGTTTTAGAACGTTTGGCGTGTTCGATGGGATATCTAGATTAAAAGCTTTAGGGAACTGGTTTTAGCAATACTTTTCGGAGGACTTATAGCTTGTCTTAAAAAAGAATGAGAAAGTCCTGAATGACTGTTGGATGCAAAGTTTCCAACTACCTTGGACGAGTTGTAGCGGGCAACTTTCTTGTGTATCAGTTTTATTTGATATTAGTAAGCGAAACTCTGATGGTATAATTAAAACAATATTTGTGTGTTTCAAGACACCTTTTTCTTCATTTCCACATTGCTCCAGTAGAGAAGAAACTGAACAAAAATTATGCCATTTAATAAAGCTGCAATAATGTAAGTGATAACCATCAGCTGGTCACCCGTTTCTTTTAAGGAAGTAAATATTCGAGCCAAACATCCTGCGAATTGGAGAAATACTGAGATCACTGATAGTTGGCCAGTATTCTGTCGCTGGTAGTTTGCCCGAATTTGTAAAAACTGAAAGGAAAATATGTGAAGCTGTGAATAAAACAAATGATGTGTATTATCAGAATTATTCAGCCAATCTTGGCAAGTTATTCCAGGAAAGACATAACTGCGCCGTATCATTTATCCACCCATCTTAAGGGCTTTATAGCGGACATCCTGCCATAGTGCTTTTTCAGTTAGTCTACAGCGTCCAAAGGTCTGCTTTGCATTGCCTTGACATTATTATCGTTGGATTTTGCGTTGGGGTATATGGTATGTCTCATGTAACAGTTTCCAAATAGCTATGTGCAAGAGAAATGTTGAAGCGATAAATTGAGTGATTCGACTTGATTCATATAATTAATTATTGAACGATGTCTATTAACACAACTGTCACTTTCATACTGATGCATTATATAACGTAGCCAAAGACGTAATAGCATTCCACTAGCAAGCAGGCATTCAGAAATTAACAAATATTCATTTAAATCTTACTTTGGCAACAATAACAACTGGGATACTAATAGCTTGAAGCAACGCAAGAACGTCAGTTGGGATATATTCACCCATTACTGCACAACTAATTGTCCAGCAAAATGCAAGAAATACTGCTGCGTAAGCTTGCCGTGATGAAAACCATAAAATCTGGATAATTATTATGACCATTTGGACTGTCACAAAGAATGAATCACCCCACTGACTGAAACGATTCATTCATATGAGTTATATGAATTTAATCTCAAACAGCCTGTCCATAGATTACTGGAATAAATAGACTAAACAATTATTTCTATTAATTTCAGCAATTCTATCCTGTACTTTCCTTATCTTCTTCAACACGAAGAGAATTTACCTTAACACTACATAATTTGAAATAATGGGAAATATTTCAGATGATATCGATTCTTATCAAATGATGTTGGACTCACTAACAGTGTTTCAGAAGAATAATCAACATAATCAACAATGTACATTTCCCTTTATGAATTATCTGTTTCAATAAATACTGTTCCTAGCGCTGCTCTGCGGAACTAAATTGTAAGACGGATTTACAAGCCTACACAATTAAAAGTAACCAAAATGGAAATTAGAAATAAACAAACACGAAAACATATCCCTTAGCGTAACTATAAGATGTTACTGCAAAACAGGCAAAGAATCCCAACAACTGCGATAACAATGAAATCCCTTCACCCGACTGTGCAAACTGAATTTTCAAAATTTGTGGTATGAATAGAAGCAATGACATAACAGTTATACCAAGTCCAAGCAGTCGCGACATAAGCATCGATACACATTCCTCTGCAATTTTCCTGATTGGATAACTGACTGATTCATAAAAATTCATTACGGTTTATAAAGTAAGTTCTACCATCGATGCTTAGATAGTACAAAGTGAGCAGAAAAAGTGACATTTGTACTGATTTATCGCAGTTCAGAATTAGCAAAGCTTATCTGACAGGCGACCTCTCTAAACTATTTCTCATTAATCTGTCGAAGTCCACTGTTAAGTTACAATGGTGACAAATTTTAGATGCATTAACAGTTACACTATCTGCTGGTGGTTCCTTTGTATTGCTATATAAAAAAAAGTAAACAGGTGTTTCCAGGACAGTACCTGTCAAGGGCATAGGTATCAAAGACTTACGATGAAGGAGGTTATATTTCAGAAGCATTATTTCGTAACATCGATTTGGAAATACGAAATGCAATAATTGATCAGTTTTTGAAATAATTAGATTCTTCATCACTTTTGAACTATTAACTAAAAATAGGATAGATAAAATGTCATATACCAAATATCAGTCTGATTTTAATTCAACTAAATTCCGCATCACCATCTGGATTTCCATGTCTAATAATTACTACGATATCTCGCCCCCATTTTTTACGAGTTTTCCACGATTTCACTACGAAATCTCTTAATATTTAAAAAATTCTCTTAACTGCTGACATAACAGATTCAGAAATCCATCAATTTGAAATTAAAATTTACTGTTCCAATCAGTGTTGATATATAACGTCACCACGAACAGAATCACGGCGACAAACGAAATGTCATTAGGCAATAAGTAATTTTTGTCGTTAAATCACAATTCCACGGAAATTTTTGGGAAATTGCGATTATTAGATGCAATATTAAACTACAATACTCGAAATATAGCATGAAAATATAAATTAGCATAGTAAAAGATCATCACATACACCGTAAAATCACTTCACTGTCAACATATTTAAAATACTGAAAACAAAAAACACTAAACATTTGACATCAGATCAAATAAAAAAGTAACAACATTTGCTACTACCTCTACAGCCGTTGAGAAAAAAATAAACTTTCTCACCATGTATTTAAATACTGAAGTGGACTGAAATTGAAAGCGGCTGGAAATAAAAATTTTGGAACAATTCTAAACTCAAGTAATTTTTAATACTACAAGTTATCACTCATCTGTCTTCTTAAATAGGTATATTCGGTAGGTATTTACTGATTATTATTAAATACTACTACAAAACAGCGACAAAATTCATATACCCATACAATCTATTTTATACATCTCAAAACTTCATAAAAAAAATACAACTGAGAAAAAAAAACAGATCCCGGAAAAAAGAAACTTGTCCTCTCATGCATCCAAATGTTTTTACAGAACTCCTTGCATTCAAACCCTTGACTTTTTCCTCAACATTTGATTCTTATTCAAATACTTGAAATACCTGGAAAATAAAAAAGTGTCTGTTTTACTGCTTTATTCTCCAGATTTTTAAAAATTCAAGTTTCTTCGAAATTTCAATTTCATCTCAAAAAGACAAGTTCAGCACACAGATTTACAATTTCGATTAAATAGATACCTGAAAATTTATAGTCTCTCTGTCAATATTTAAAGCTTTTGCAATCGTTAAAAAATTACCTCCATGTCATCGATTTTAAATGTACCACCCTTCACCAGTTCTGGATTTTGGAATGTTTTACCCGGTAAGGTTGAACCTTTTATCAATTCATCCACAATATATATTGCATTCCCACCAATCTACAAAATAAGAATTACGCCAAAAAATTGATTTGTTTCATTCAGTTTTTCAACACTATTTAGTGAAATATAGGGTGCACAATTAGTTATCAGTCTATAAATGATAGCTAGTTAAAGACAGGATGATAGATGAATCTTGGTTAATGAAAAAATTCAAACACTTGCTCAAGCAATTAAAAAAATTAGTCAATTCACGATACAAAAAATACGTTTCAAGTCATAATTCTAAAATGGCCGTACAATAAAATAAGCAAATTTTCAGAACCACGGAGCATATGTTTTTGAAACTGTAGTATGCTGCATATATAAATGATACAAAAAGGTGAACTTTAGAAAACGTACCATTAAAACAGTAGGCTCTCGACCACACGGAGCAGCCATAAAACATTCTGCTTGATTTTCTTTCCAATCATATTTATTCACTTGATTATTATCGTCTAAATTCCAAACAAACGAAAGACCACCGCCAAAGTATTTTCCATTCCCACGCTCACATGTCTTTATTCGATTTCCCCACGGTTCGTCACAGAAAGCTCCCAAAATTTCACTTTTATCAGTCTTGATAATTAACAACGTTGATTCCGCTTCATCGATCCTACAAAAGCTGAATTTTAGCTGTGATGATAATCTTACGCTAACATCTTTATGTGTTGTGGTTTTTTTTTAGAACTTAAACAATTTCATACTGAAAATAAAATATCCGCTCACTTTGTCCACAAACGATAGAATGAGGTCCCATCATCGCAAAGATGGTAAATCAGCATCGGAGTTTTGAGTTGATATTTTTCCGGCAAATAACACATTAATTTAAAGGCAGTTTCTGATGAAATGATGCTTGAAATAAAGGGCTTTATATACATGGCTGGTAAATCAACCACTGGAAGATCAGGACCCTCTGACTTCAAAATCTGAAAACCATCACCAAAACTATCAAGTCACTTCTCGCCATAAAATTCCCAAAAAAATGTGCTGTAATTAGCTGAACTAAAAAATATATAACGGTTATATGAAAATGACATTATTTGCGAATAAAATGGAGAAGGTATAAGTACTGTTAGTTTAACATTGAGACACTTTTATGCAGAGCACGTAAAAGAAAAAAAAAAAAAAAACAAAAAGATGCAGTAATCTTCGTTCCCTTTACTTTTATGATAATGAAATATTTTAAAAGGTTGTAGTTTCATTTCTTCACTGCGACTAGTTGTTAAAAAAAGCAATTGTCTTGCTTGGTTCATTAAAATGAGATTATTTCGTCTAATCATCGATTTAGATGGTAGTACTTGTTTCCTACTTCGTACGGGGATTTTCTTTAAGCTTTTTAGTTTAGCAGGAAAGTTAAGAGGACATGCTCAAGGTTAATCAAATTCAGTGACAATTCCAGTTTGAAAAAACAGCCAAACTTAGCTCTGTATTTATACTAATTCTGCTCCTCAGTGGCACCAGTAACTTTCTGTCTAAAATACGCCGTAATCAACCATAGAAAAAAGTGCAGAAACTATTTTACTTACGATAAAAAAAAAAAAAAAAAATCTACCATTTTCTCATACTTGTCCTGAAAACGAGTAATTTTTGTACCACTAAAATTCCGAATCTTTATAGCGGCTTCGAGTAAAACCGTAACAGAAATATTTTGATGTTTTACGCTCTGAACAATCCTTTCCGCAAATAAATCAATCCGTTCTTGGCAAGTTTTGTCCGTCAAATCGTCAGGCATCTGAAGATAAAGGCTTTTTTAAGAACCATAAATTGTAGTCCTAAAAATTCTCAACATGTCAAATAAAGTGGAACATACAAATATGGTTAAGTTAAAAGTTTAAAGAAAATTTACAAAATTGTAATAGGATTCTTCAATATGCAATTTATCATCTCACAGTTTCCGAACAGCTGCCGAGGAGTTCACTGGGAAATATCAACAAAACTTTATCATTAATTCTACAATTTCTATGGAAATATAAAATATATAAAACCAACTTTGATGTTTTTGTGCCAAATGTTAAGCAATATGATGGCAACTCTCATTAATACTTTGCTCCCTTCATATAAGTAGCAATCAATAACACAAATTAAATGTTCAAACGGCAAGGCGCAAAATATCCATTTTGGCCAACTTTGCAAAGCACTTGCCAAAATGTTTTCGTCAGACGACCCAATCCAATTTTTCAATGTTTTATAAACTGCTGTCTGAAAAGAAAAACTAAAATGTAGCTGTTTTCTAAAGTTCGACGCCTTCAATTAACAACAATCTAATAAATAAGCGAAGTGACTACATAATTTGTCACCAGTAATTTTTAACGAAAGTAATCAGGAAAAACTAAGGGAAAAAAAATGGTTCTCAAAAAAAAAAAGGAGAACAGTTTGAGAAATGTTAAGGCTTGAATATCTAAGTCGGTTCTAACAACAAAATGTCTTAGATAATCAAGAAGAGAGAAAAAAGGGTGGGGAAAGCATACCTTGTGGACTTTTATAAGTGCAAGCAGTGTGTACCCCGTAGCCTTACTTGCCAAAGCAGAACATTTCATGTAATTTGAATGATTTTTAAGGATCCAAAAAACACATGCATATGCATCGTCCTCACTCATATAATGCAAACATAATGCAAGTATAGGTTGCATCAACTATAAGAAAGAGCCACAATTACAAAAAATGCTGAGAATAAATAAAACCATTTTATTATAGTTTGATTGAAATATTTTCAAAAACACCGATTAGTGTGGAACAAATATGTTAAGTAAGTCAAAAAATAATATAAAATAAATAAAAATCAATCTAACACTAACCGGTGCATAATTTAATGTCGGGATTGTAGCATCTAAAGCACGAATGAGACGATGTAGTGCTTTTAAGCCATCTGCATTTAATTCATAACATTCATGTATAGTATCCGAAGATTGCAGAAAACGAGCTTTTGGTGGAAAATGCCCTAAACAAACCTAAATTAATTTTTTAGATTCATACCTTTCAAAAGTCTAACCAGCTCTTAATAGACTGTAATAAGAACAAGAGGTTTTTTAAAAACATTATGCTTCTCTGTTTACCAACATGATACTGATACCTTTGCTGCACAAATTTCTGCATTTTGCATGCCTTAACCTTAGCAACTCAAAATAGACAGGATAATAGCAATAAAATCGTATGAAAAAATTACCAACGTTCTCTTCCCATCCATCAGATTCATAACTAACTTTGTGTGCATTAAAGTCTGGATTGTTTAATTTACAGATTTCTTGCCATAAATTTGCTCGTATCCTGTGTCCTATTGGCCAGTTTGTTTTTCGAAGCATCTTTTTTATCTAAAATCAAGAACAAAATTGAAATCACAACACAATATCACATAATTTTTGATGAATTGTGTACAGTAAACATTAAATAGGGGCTCAGAGCTTGCTACCTTTCAATGTCAACATCTTTCAGTTTTCATTTAGCTCATGCCTAGTTGAATCATTATCAATGATTGTTTGATCTTTGTTTACTGCTCACATCGATGCTCTTACTTCATCAGGTCGATTCCGGTGTAGAATTTGTCGAATTAATTTAATACTGCCATATGACTCATCGTAATTAACAATAATGATACGAGCATAATTCGTGAATGTTTCCTGCAGACAGAATGCTATGTGCAAAGATGTTTGATCTAAATTTCATATATAAATTGGATTTACTAAGATTAGAGGTAACGGCTTTACATTATCAATGTTACTGATGTAAAACATAAGTAC